AAGTGTCGTCTCCGTCGTCGACACGTGTCTCCTTGGCCTTGACGTCTTGCCACGGCTAGAGTAGCCGCTGCTTGCGCCGTAGCTAGACTACCGGGAGCGTACAGAATTCATGTCGTACCATGCATCACAGAGAGCAAACGCGTCGGCTGGAGAAAGCGTCATGGACCGGCCCATGGGCTGCATTGGTCGGCAGCAGACCCGGGTCGAGTGCTGGCGTAGCAAGTGCCCGAGCGGCGCAACAGACGGTCTAAAGCGGAGCATTTTCACGTTCATGCAGCAAGCTATGATGACCTGCACGGAGGCGAGCGAGGGGATCGACGCAGAGCGATGGTCCACGTATTCGGCACGGGATTGGTTGTAAACCGTGCATTCGGCCGCGTGTGATTGGAGGAAAATACATCCACACATTCCGTGCTTGGAGCGATGAACACGGCGAAGACGGCGACGACGACGCGGAAGCGGACGCTCGCCGAGGACTATGGCGGCGACGTGGGCGAGGACTTGCAGGCGTACATGGACGAGGACAACGATCCGGTCCAGAGCAAAGACTCGGTCGCAGCGTCCAACTCGCTCTCGCAGCGCATCCAGAAGCGCTTGACGCAGCTCAACCAAGCGACGCTCGACAGCGAGAAGGGCGACAGCGGGTATTTCGACTTTTCGGCACTCGAGCTCAAGAAGGACCACGAGTCGCGACCGGTAGGCGACATGCGGCGGCGTGCAGAGGCCTCATGGCCGGCGTAGGTCTGGGTGTGCCCCAACGGGCGGATCTTCCTCGAAGCGTTCTCGCCGATTTACAAGCAAGCGTACGACTTTCTCGTCGCGATCGCTGAGCCCGTGAGTCGGCCCGAGTTTGTCCACGAGTACAAGCTCACGCCGTACTCGCTGTACGCAGCCGTGTCGGTCTCGATCGAAACGGACAGTATCATCAAGGTGCGCGCCGGACGCTCTCTCGTACGCTGCATTTAGAGGACCTATTGTAGGTACTCGAGCGCCTGAGCAAGAACGTGATCCCGACAGGCATCACGACCTTTATCCGCGACTGCACGCTCAGCTACGGCAAGGCCAAGCTCGTGCTGCACCACAACGAGTTTTACGTCGAGTCGCTCTACCCGCAGGTGCTGCGCACGCTGCTTGAGAACGAACAGATCCGTCTCGCCCGCGTCAAGGAAGACCCGACCGATACCTGTACGCTAGCATACATCGATCACGCCATCACGGCATTTTGTTAGCAACCGCGACGGCCATGACCTCGAACGAGTTTAGCTCCAACGGCGAGTTCCTCCAGAAGGAAGTCACGGCCGAGGACCAAGCCAACATGCAGTATCAAAAGCTGCTCATGGAAGATTACGACCAGACGGCCGAAGGCAGTGCGAAGTCGACGTCGGCCGCGACCGTGCAGACGGTGAGTTTCCGCATCCGCAAGACGCACGTCGAGCAGGTCAAGCGCGCGTGCCTCGACATGGACTACCCGCTCATGGAAGAGTACGACTTCCGCAACGACAAGACGATCCCGGACATTGACATGGACCTCAAGCCCACGACGCGGATCCGAGAGTACCAGGAGAAGTCCCTCAGCAAGATGTTTGGCAACGGCCGTGCGCGCTCGGGTATCATCGTGCTGCCGTGCGGCGCTGGTAAGACGCTCACGGGTGTCACGGCCGCGTCGACGATCAAGAAGTCGTGCCTCTGCCTCTGCACGTCGGCCGTCTCGGTCGAGCAGTGGACGGCGCAGTTCAAGATGTGGACCACGATTCCGGAAAAGAAGATCGCCCGGTACGCGTGCAGTAGTATATGGATCGATGCTATGGATATGCCGTGTAGCTTTACGAGTGTCGAGAAGGACTACATCGACCCCGAGTCGGGCGTCATCGTCACGACGTACACCATGGTGGCGTTTGGCGGGAACCGCGCGGCTAAGTCGGCGGCCGTCATGGCCCTTATCCAGAGCCGCGAGTGGGGCTGCATTCTGCTGGACGAAGTGCACGTGGTGCCGGCCAAGATGTTCCGCAAGGTACTAAAACGAGGATTGGGTGTTGCAGAGATCGACAAGTCTTTTAGGTCATTGGGTCGATCGCGTGCCACTGCAAGCTCGGGCTCACGGCGACCTTGGTCCGCGAAGACGATCTCATTGGCGACCTCAACTTTCTCATTGGCCCCAAGCTCTACGAAGCCAACTGGATGGATCTCACGCAGTCGGGCTTCTTGGCCAACGTCTCGTGCGTCGAGATTTGGTGCCCCATGACGGGCCCGTTCTACGCTGGTGGCCGCATCTCCAAATGTTGCATCGGAATCTCAATCGTGGGATATGGTAGAATACCTCAAGGAGAACGTGAGCGCCCGCAAGCGCGCGTTGCTGTATGTGGCCAACCCCAACAAGTTTTCGGCTGCCGAGTACCTCATCCAGTACCACGAGAAGCGCGGCGACAAGATCCTGCTCTTCTCGGACGATGTGTTTGCGCTCCGGCTGTACGCGACCAAGCTCGGAAAAGGTTTCATCTACGGCGGCACGGGCGAGCGCGAGCGCATGCGTCTCCTCCAGTCGTTCCGGACGAGCCCGCACGTCAATGTGATTTGCATCTCCAAGGTCGGCGACACCTCGATCGACTTGCCCGAAGCCAACGTCATCATCCAGGTCGACTCAAATCTTTTTATGAGTTGTATGCGACACATTTTTTGACCATTGTAGGTGAGCTCGCATTTTGGCTCGCGTCGCCAAGAAGCCCAGCGTCTCGGGCGCATCCTTCGGCCGAAAGCCAACTCGACCGGCGGCTTCAACGCGTTTTTCTACACGCTTATTTCGACCGACACGGCCGAGATGTACTACTCGAACAAGCGCCAGCAGTACCTTGTGGACCAAGGGTATACGTTCAAGGTCGTGACTGACCTCTACGACAAGGCGACCTTTAAGGGCGTCTTCACCTCGAAAGACGCGCAGGCACAACTCCTCGTCGAAGTGCTTGAAGCCCAAGATCTCGACAAAGTGTCCAAGTACGAGCTTTCTATGCGATGGATCTAAATGTGATGGCCGTCATCCTAGCGACGAAATGGCGGCGATCCGCGACGACGAAGATCTCACGCGGCTCAGCAGCAAGAAGAAGAAGTCGTCGTCACTCGGCGCGCTCTCGGGTGCCGACGGCAGCAAGTACATGGAGTACTCGGCGGGCCATGGCGCCAAGCAGCGCCACAACCTCTTCCGCGATCGCTACCGCTAACTCCAACTTGTAAACCGTTCATACACACCGTTTCCATGATCGCCGCTGCATGATACCCAGGTATTGGGAAATGTGAATTTGGCACTGGACTCGGTCACCGCTACAGCGCTATCTCTGGCATCTATCAAGACGTCGTCTCGACTTTGGTGCTGGAGCTGGTGGCTTTGAGGCCTTTCATGTATCATGGTTACGACGGTGTCGAGGTCTGGCTGGCCCACCACCATTCGTTCTTCTCTCGGCGCTCTTCGTCGCGGTCTTGGGCGAGGCGCGTCTCGACTTGTCGCCGAAGGGCCAAGAGCGTTGGCTTGGTGATCCCAGCGCTGACCTTGTCGGCTAGCGAGCGGTGGATTTCTTTCAACATCTCAAAAGGTTTTGTACCTCGGCTTGCCTTGGCGGTCGACAAAAGGCACGGCACCGGCGCCGATACCGGCAGCGGCGACTTGCAGAGCAACTGATGCTTGAGAATGCGCGGCGGCTCTGGCGGCGACGAGTTCCATTGCGGCTCGACCGTTCGCGCCGCGCCAGAAAGATCATCATGGAACGTGGCACGAGCTACATTCGCAGCAGCATGCATCTCCTCGCGGTAGGCTCATGGATGCGTACCATGCGAGGATGGCAGTTTGCAGGGCGAAGCAAGCCAGGGCTTGGAGTAGTCCCGTCGAGGCCAGTCGCCTCGCACCTTGGCGTCCGTGACCATCGGTTTCAACAGTAGCGAGCAGAGTCGTAACGATATCATCACTTTTGTAATAGAAAAGACGCCTTTGCGTTCATTCGAGTGGCGTGTGTTGAGCTTGCAGCGTCTTGGCGACGCCGTGGACAAAGTTAAAGTAGACGTACTTGGCATCAAACTCCATGTCGTGCCTTCGTTTCCACGGTTATCGCCAGCGAATTCAATGCTAGCGTACCAGTAGTTGACCGAGACGGTGTTGCAGAGCTGCGTCGCGCGGTGGTACCAGAGCGACGGCAAGTAGAGCATTTCGCCCGCCTCGAGCACCACTTCCACTGGCTCCAGGTGCTACGCAAAGCTGTTTATAGCAACACACGAAACAAAGCAAGGTACCTTGGCGTTGGGAAAGGCCGTCGCGTCAATCGCCACTGGGTCGACGGGAATCCACGGTGTCATGTCGGACGCCGCCGAGTCCGGTACGTGAATGCGCCTGCCCAAGCGATGACGGAGGTAACAAGGCAAGATCTATGTACCACATGGGGTGTGCGGACGGTCGCAGCGCCGACGGGTCGATGCCGGCGGTCTTGCTCACGTGCACGTAGCGCGTCGTCGGGTACTCGGTTTCATGGAGGAAGGCTACCGCCGGTGGCGGGAGGAGGGTAAAGTGCTTTCGACCCCGCACAACGCAATACATGTTCTAGGATCGTGGTCAAAACCGAGTCGATGAGACCAAGCCGACCTCGTAGTGGTCCTTGTGCATGGTCGAGACGGCGCGCTCGTCGCCGATCCAGAGGTTGACGGCTTCGGGGGCGTTGCCAAAAGCCTCGGCCGCAAAGTCGATGGCGTCGTCCACGTCGTCGACGAGCTCGGGAAACTGATCGCGGAGACTGTCGTTCTACTCGTCCTTCGCGTCGCCATCGAGAATCACATCGAGAGTACCTGGTGCGAGAGGTACGGAATGCCGTCAAACGCTGGGTCGTGGTACATGCGGAGGAACTCGCGAAACGTCACGTCGCGTTCTTCGGGCTGCACGAAGACGTTGGTACCGTCCGCCAGCTGGAGCTAGACGCGAGTTTTAGCGCATGGGTCAATCAAGCAGAGAGAGGATCGTACCACCGCGTCGCCGTAGCCCGAGGGCGTGACGTCGACGGTCACCGTCTTGTCACCAATGGTCTCGTCGAAGAAGGCGTCCGACCACTTGCGCAGCGCGGGCCAGTGCGCGAGGCCGCCGACGATGATGACCGGAATGTTCTTGCTGACGTAATCGCGGTAGAAGGCCAGCGGCGTCGGCGGCGAAATGCGCGCAATCTTCCGCGGCGCCCAAAAGTCCTGCGCGTCTTCGCTGAGCTGCGCCAGTATCGGCTCCATCGTCTTATCTCACTGCAAACTGCAATGTCACGATGGCGATAGCACGCATAGACTAATTACACGCAACTTTAGACGGCCACAGTGCAGATGCAGGGTACCTTGGGCTCTCATGTGCAGAGACGTTGCAGATATGTCTGAAAGCATCGTTTGGCAGCGGCGAGAGTCGGTTGGACACCTCGATGGCCTTACTTTAGAGACCATGTTGGGCGTGCGGTGGCGTGTTTTTATCCTACGTTTGATTGGCCAAAACCGGATTGGATTTCGGGGGATTTCGCTAGCAGCCAAGTCCAATGCATCGCCTGGTCTACCTCGGCAACGCCGGTTCGTGCATGGAGTAAGATGTACCCGAGGCTCATGGGCGGATCACGTAGCGCTCCGCCAGGTCTCGACGAGCGTCAAGGACGTCCATGACATGCGCTCGATCGTCTCGGCCATGACCACCATCGTCGTACGCATCACGCCCGCCCGTAGCACACCGTTGACGGCCTCGTAGGGCGAGCACCAAGGCTTGGGCCTTGCGGGGCCGCAGATCGGCGTCAACAAGCGCCTCTTCCTCATGGTCAAGGACTTGCCCGAAGGTGAGACTACAGTCGACGGTCGAGGCTACATGTCGATCTAGACGAGGAGACGCCGCTGACGTACGAGCCGATCTTCAACCCGCGCATTGTTTCGAGCTCAAAGGAGATGACGCGCGACTTTGAAGGCTGCTTGAGCTTCCCGGGGTACCAAGGCGTCGTTGGCCGGTCGTCCGACATTGAAGTGCTCTACACGAATGCAGATGGAAAGGAGACGCACCGCGAGCTTAGCGGTCTTCACGCGCGTGTCTTCCAGGTACCGAGCTCTTTCTCCCATATCCTTTCTTTGCTCATGCTGCGTGCCTAGCATGAGCTCGACCACTTGGACGGCGTCATGTTCCTCGACAAGTGCAACGTCAACGTACGTCGCTACTTGATCGCTCGCCGATGCTCATGCTGCCTCTAGTCGCTCATCCACAACGACGAATTCACGCAAATGGACTTTCTGCAGCTCCAGCTGCTGCTGCTCAACGAAGACGACGACGACGCGTAGATACGAAAGGCGTATGTATAGAAGGATGCCCGCCTCGTATTTATTTGGTCGGCGGAGGCAGGAGATGACGAGAAAGATGCTACACTTTGTGCTCCTGTTCCAGATACATCTTGGAGGCGTGGACCCAGCTCACCCCCGCCTTGACGCCGATATAGACGGGTACAAAGACGATGACGCTGACGACCCACCACGTGATGCGGTCGAGCGACGCTTCGTAGAACGTGATGCCCACCATCCACTCGTCGAGGCACTGCGCCCGCGTCTTGGTCTACGCAAAGATGATGATTCGTCATCATGAAACGATGACATGGATCTACCGTGGTGCCCTCGGCGAGGGTCACAGCGTGCTCTTGCATGGCAACGCGCTGGCTGCGGTGCGGCACGGCGACCGGTCGCCCGAGGAAGGTCGCTTCCCGCAGCGGCATGATGTCCGACGCCGCAAACGTGCGCTCTGGCAAGTGCTCGGGCGTCGAGTACTCGTCGTTCTCGAGCTCGAGAAACCAGAGGTTGGCGTGGGGCAGACCCGGGCCATACGTGTTGGGCTCGGATCCAGGAAACGCCTTCTCAGACCACGACTGCGCGGGGTTGTCGATGCGCGCATAGATCTCCATAAGCCGCCGGTGCGGGTCGTACATGACGTGCATGCCCTTGGCCTCGAGGCCTTGCACGATGTTCCAAAAATCGGTCGACTCGAGCTGGACCATGTCGATGGCGACTTCGATCGACGAGACGTGGTAATCAATGCCACTGGGGCGGCCCATCTCTTTGGCGGCTTCGGCGGCGGCGAGCACACTCGGCTCCAACGACACGGCGGGCGCTTTCGCCGCCAAGAGCGCTTCGGCGAGCGAGCCGAACGCTAGCCAATGCGTCGTGCCCGAATCGGCAAGCACCGATAGCGTGACTTCGCCGATCTGCGACGTCGCTCTCGAGTACGCGTCGCTCACAGCGCAGCCGCGGTGGTAGCTCACCTCCATGAGCAAGAAGAAGGTCAAGAGCATCGAGATGGCCGCGCGGATCGCACGCGACGTCCAGGACGCCCGCGCCTTGGAAGCTGGCGGTGCCACAGACGCAGAGTTCCGTCGGCTACGGCCCGAGGCCGGCTCCGAGGCGTGGAGCTCGGCGGCGTTTGCTCCGCTGTAGCGGCGCTGCATCCGTCAGCTTCGTCGCCTCAAGAGGTGTGGGTGTTACCCCAGATCCTGTACATGCAATGTACGAGGTACGTACGCTAGAATAATAAAATGGTGACGTACATTACCGTACAATAGCCACCGGCCGCACCGTACATGAAAAGTTGAAGGATTTTGGCCAATCGTTGCCGTGCACAAGGCGCCGATTGGTGCTCACACTGTCAATGCTCAATTTCGGCATGTTCCATTTTGGATTGGAGGGTCAAAACAATAAACCTCTCAAAATCAATATTGATACGCAATGGATCCAGCAGCTGCCACGAGGCATGACTTTGACACTACCATAGAGCAAGGCTTTGGGATAAGACTGCCGGCGACAAGAGCTAGACCGTCCATCAATATACAGCGAATCAAGGACCGGGCATCTCATTTCACATCGCGAGTGGACCGAGTGTTCAGTTGCACCGTTTCGCCAACTGTTTTTCGGATGAGGCGGTTTATGATTGGAATTACAGCTAGGGGTTTTGTTTTCTATGTGGTCCCTCGCCAAGCCACTTGATCGTCTGGTTGCTCGTGATTTCTTCCCATCGCCAACTTCTTTTCATTAGCTTGTGTTGGGTTGACGTGCGATCAAAGCCATGCCCTTGGCGCCTTCCGATTGCCAAATATGATGCTTCGATCGCAGGCCACAACAAAGTGCACGAGCTTCCCACCCAGCCTTGTTCTTGCTGGACTGCTACCCAACAAGTCGAACGCTTGCGAAGCCATCCTGGTGGTTTGGCCGTTTGGCACTTGGATGTGCTGTGGTGTGAACGGCACACTGCGAAGTGCTCAACGAAGAGTCGCTGCACGGACACGACTGTCGAAAGAAGAGAAAACAAAACGCGGTCATTCGAACGAGTATAAGAGGGACGAGAGATACTGGGCACGCTTCAAAATGGCACCAACTATTCTCGCGATCGATAAATGCGAGTGCACACGCACGTGAAGATACGTGATGACACGGCGACATGCGCAACGTTCCGGGGAGATCGTGGTGACGTGGCAACCGGACAGCTCACCTTGTCGCCGCGGCTCACCGGTTGTTAAATTGGGACCGTCCCATCGCGCCATTCGAGGCTTGCCTGGACGCTTTCAACCCAAACCTGGCAGCTGTCGTGCTCGGCGGTATTGGGCGAACGGCCCTCTGGGATCGTCGACCTCGTTCGGTGGCTGGATATCCGTGCGTACGTCGCGCTATTTGGTGCCTACTAGTACGGGACGCAGTGGAAACCTCAAGTGAGGAAGCGTGCTTCGAGCCCAATACAGTACTGGTTGTCGTATGGTAGCCGTAGAGGCAACAGTGACGATGTCATCAATGACGTGCGTCCAGCGGAGAGATGCCTGACCGTTCTGCGCAAGTGCTGACGCCACACAGACGCACTCATTCTTCGATTCGCTTCATGTCGCTCTCCTCGGTGGTCGCGGTCAAGACGGTCGAAGGCGAACCAGTCGCGCAGCTCTCGACGACGGTGCTCGGACAAGTCGCGGGCCTCGACTTCACAGGCCACAGCGACGAGACCGTCGGTCTGTACCTGTTCCTGGCATTCCATGACGATGATGTTCTCGCGCAAGCGACGGCCAGTCTCGCGATCGGCGATGCTGCGGCGCAGCACGTGCTCGCGGTGTGGACCGTCGTGACGACCCCGGCGACGTTCCCGCGTCACCTTGAGCTGCACGGGGACTTTGCGATTTTGGTCTCGCGCGACCGTTCAGTGCGTGTTGCAGTCTGCGCTTCGACAGCCCACGACGTCCTTTCCGTCACGTTTGCCTCGCCGACGCCGTTCAAGACGGACATCATCGTCAGCTTGAACCACTTGACAACATCGAAGGGCGAGACGACGTCCGCGCGCCAGGTGCATCTTGGCGGCAACGTTTGGCTGTATGTCTTCCAGCTTCTTGCAGCCATGCCCAACGGCCTACAGCATCTGCAGCGCCGCCTGGCGCATGCCATGATGCAGTATGGAACCCTGCGCTACAACGTCACGCGTCCGGCGACCGACGCGTTCAAGCCGCTTGCTCCCTTTGCGGAAATGCTCAATATGCAGCCGACTCCTCCGTCGTTGCCACCGCGCACGCCAGCGCACTCGGCGCTGACAGGAGAAGCTCTTGCTCGTCGGTCGCCATCGCCTTTTGCAAGCCGGCCACCGCAAGCCCCAGGCCCAGACATGGCGCTAAATGAGCCATCATCGCTGGTGTCACCATGGTCGTCGCCCAGCAGTGGCTTTGGGTTTAGCCACCAAAACAACTTGTCGCCCGAATCGCTTCGCGAGCTCGAGCGCCGGTATGCGTCGCCATTGCTTCTGGCCAACTACCCGTCACCGATCCGCTCGTCGCCGCTTCTCATGGAGAGTCCGCCGTTCGATGTGCACTCCTCGCCACCGCAAGCCGTGCGCCCCGCCTTGCTGCTACCCAAGGACGACGACGACAACGACCTGGCCGACCAAACACTCAACATGTCGGTCGATGATATCGAAGACGACGAGTACGAACGTGGCACAATGGTCGCGTAGCCAATGTCTTGGTCCGACTGCATTTTTTAGCGTCTAATTGCAAGTTAAACGAGTCGCGACGATTTAGGGGCCACGGCCGTGACGAGACCTCGTCATACCTGGCATGCACCCGCTACACATCTTGCCTTTTCAATAGCACGGTCGCACGGCCACCCTTCACACCCCGCTACCAAGGAGCAGATTTGAAACCAGCACCATACTACACGTTCGGAAGCTGCGTGCCAGGGTGCCACGTATGCACCTGTCCAACTCGATATTTGAACCTGTGAAACTCGATGCGTCACTGGACGTTGGCGTCGTGCGATCGGCCGCATGGTCCGGATAGAGCGTATCCGGATAGTCGGTGGGCCAAGCCACGATGGTCATTCTGTCGATCGATCCGGATGCAGCTCCAGCGACGCAAGGCCCGAGGCGACGCGGCGCCGCCGCCGCCGCCCACGACGCGCGCCCACGACAACGCGATCGCATCTGCGTGGTCGCGCATGAGCTGGCGCAAGCCGCTCTCTCTCACGCGCGCCGACGAGAGCTCCAGCGAGCACCCGCACATGGAGCGCACACTCGGCTGCTTTGACCTGCTCATGATCGGGATTGGCGGCACCGTTGGCAGCGGCGTCTTTGCCACGGCCGGCTTGGTACAGTCGTGGCCCCGGTTCTTGCTCATGGAAACGTAGATTGCGCGGTCGTACGCTGGGCCTGGTGCGGTGCTGAGCTGGATCTTCGCCGGCCTCGGCTGCATCCTCAGCGGCGCGTCCTTCATGGAGCTCTCGTGCATGATTCCGTCGGCCGGCAGCACGTACGCGTATGCATATCATGCGCTCGGCGAGCTCCCGGCGATGCTCGCGGGCATGCTCTTGACGCTCGAGTACGGCGTCTCGAGTGCTGGTGGCGCCCGCGCGTGGAGCGACAAGCTCGCTGCTTGGCTCCATCACGTCGGCTTTCCAGGGCCCAACTGGATGAAGCCAAAGGGCGGGTTCATCGACCTCTATGCTGGCCTCCTCATGGTACGACGCACTTGTGACACGACACATAAGCGCAAGACGGGTAGATGCTCTGCACGATCATCGTGCTCTGCGGTATGTCGGCCGGGAAGCGACTCATCAACACGATCACCATCACGAAAATCACGGTCGTCCTCTTTATCATTGTCGTCGGCCTCTCGCAATTCAAGACAACCAACTTTCTCGAGCCGTTTTTGCCGCCGATCGCGCGCAACGAGCACGACCAAACCGTGTACGGCTGGCCCGGCGTCATGCTCGGTGCGAGTGCCAGCTTTTACGGCTACATTGGCTACGGTATTTACATGGACACTCGGCTCACTCTTGACATGACACGAACCTGTAGACGAAGTATGCTGCTTGGCCGCGGAGGCCAAGAACCCGACGCGGGACATCCCCCGCGCGGTCTTTGGCACGGTTATTGGCGCCGCGCTTCTCTCGACCATGGCCACGTTGTCGCTTGTCGGGATGCAAAAGTACTCTGCGATCGACATTGGCGAGTCGTACGGCACGGCGTTCCACGAGGTGCGTCATCCCGGAGTCGCGACGCGTCATCCCGCCGTTTTTACGGTCTCTGTCTCTAGCTGGGCATGTCGTGGGCTGCCTCGGTGGTCGAGACGGCATCCTCATTGGTTTCCTTGCCCAGCCCCGTGTCCAGGTAGGATAGTACCTAGAGTACCGATATGCGACATGCCCATCATCCGTCTAGTTTGCCATGGCGCGGGATGGGCTCCTTCCCTCTATCTTTGCCAAGCTCGATCGCCACGGCAACCCATTCTTTGGCACGCTCATTTGCGGCAGTGTCTTGACAATTGTCGCCGTCTGCATTCCGTTCAAGTACCTCTGGGACTTTATTTCGCTCGGGATTCTCGTCGCGTTCAACGTGACCAACACGTGCCTCCTCGCAGTGCGCTATCGCCACAGCAGCGTCGTCTCGCCTGTCGCGCGCCTCGTGCCCGAAGCGCACCGCGTCTTTGCCCTCATCGCCGCCTTTCTTATCGCGTCGTATCTCTCAGCCTACCACGTCCAGGAGAGCATCCTCGCACCGCGGGGTACGCTCTTGTCTTCGGACCACTTGTCCTCATCGCGTTGCGTAGACCTGGACGGGTCGCTGCACCAGCGCTACATGCACGCATTTGGGACCACAGGCGCCCTGCTTTTTACGCTCCTCACGGGTGCGCTGGATGGACCTTGCAGCAGACGATACACTCTAGTGGTTGTAGGTATCACCGTGGTCATGCTGGCACTGAGCACGCCGACGCCAGCGGATTTGCTGCCGAAGGAGAGCCCCGAGAACCTTCAGACGCTGCCGGACACACCCAGCACGGTCGTCTCGTCGTCGACCACCGACACGGACAGCCTTATCGTACGCATCCTGCAAGCTTTATTGATAGAGTAAGAACACCACTGTTCTGCTAGATGCGCGACGACGACGACGACGATGTTGTCGTGGTCGATGCGGCCAGCGTCGCACCGCTGGACGACGATGAAGGTAGCGAGACGAGCGACGACGCCAAGACGCACACGGAGGCGTTCAAAGCACCGCTCGTGCCGCTCTTTCCGTGCCTTGCGATTTGGTTCAACTGGTTTCTCGCGATCCAGATCCCGTCGTTGATTGTGCTGCTCATGAGCGTCTACTTTGCACTCGCAATCGCCATCTACACCTACTACGGGCTCCGCGGCCAGCACTCGCTCGCGTCTCGTCACGGTGCGGCCCCCCAGTCGTACGCGGCTGTGCCCGAGACCCTCTCGGCCTAACGTTAGTGGTTGTTGAAATCTTGAGGCTCATGTCGTGGTTTTTTGTTGCGCTTGCAACCTCGAAGTGCTACTGGAACGCATCCTATCAAGACATGAATGACCCATTTCCCAAGAGCGATCAATGCGTTGTTGACCAAAAGACAGCGTTGCGAGAAGCGCGACGCTCTCCAATTGCGTCTCCTTGATACCCGAAGGTTCATATTTTCCAAACCGACTGCAAAGGCACGTCCAGGTCATTCAAGACGCTCTTGTTGTTGCCCTCCAAACGTCCAAGTGTCAGTTCGATTTTGTGTGGAAACTCCCTAAACACTGGCAAGTGTACGCCAAAGCAGCGCGAGAAGTGGTCGTGCATGGCCTGCTGGCACCGAGCGCTTCACTTCGATGCGCCGCGCGACGAAACCTGCCAACGTGCAGAAAAATGCTTTTCCGGTCTCATCAAAGAGACTTGCCTGTTGACAATTCTCTAATCATCGAGTAGACTGAGGTTCCAACGCAGTGATGTCAATCTGGTCTGGGTCTTATCAAACCATATCTATCGAACTCCGTTCTCACGGGTCGTCGTCTATACCGTCACGTCGCAACGAGGCCGATTCGCATACCGAGCGCCATACGCGAAGTAGACACAAATCGCGAGCAGGATCCAGAGCACCATCATGACGACCGTCGGCACGGGCATTTGAACGACGAGCAGCCAATTGAAAAACATGGCCACGCACGGCACGAGCGGTACACCGGGGCAGCGAAAGAGCGCGCTGGCCTCGACCTCGTCGACGATGGCCTTGGGCAGACTCTTCTGCACGGGCTTGGTGCACGCGAGGAGACCGACCATGCCGGCGGCCATCGCTGTGAACAATGACGCTACGTAGAAACCTGCAGCAGCCATGTACTCGTACACGTAGCCCTCTATGCCAGAAGAAAGGTCCTTGAGTAAATCAAACGAGGCGAGTTTGGTACCAGTGCGCGACGGCGCAATGATCGCTTCCTGCCAGTGCCACGCGGCGAGCCACGACGCGAGCGAGAAGACGCCAAGCACGAACGGCAGCTTGAGCTGCACGGACGCGCACTCGATCTGCGTCGCCTCGTAGCGGACGACGAGGAGCGAGAGGTTGGTCATGTTGAAGGCGAGGAGGATACCCAACGAAATGAAATTCCAGAGCACGTGAAACTCGACGCAGGTCGCGAGCACGATGAGGAAGAGGCCGCAGAGAATCGCACCCATGCGTGGGTTGCCATGCGCGTCCAAGCGCTTGAAGACTGCCGGCATAAGGCCGTCTTTGGCCATGGCGCACTAGAATTCTTGTGAGAAAATTGAGGAAAAATGGGATCAATCGGACCTGCACACGCGGCTGCGCCAGAAACCCAATGAGGATCCCGACCGGCATCGTGAGCACTTCGCCCGTCTCGACGATCGGCGACGCCCAGTGGTACCCGACCTAGCGTTTATAGAACCTTATCCATATTGTCTATACGTTTTGTGCGAACTTGTACCGATTTAAAGGCTTCGCCAAACGACTCGTCGACGTCAATGGCGGCGTAGTGCTGCATGCCCACGATAGAGAGCGTCGCTAGAATGGAGAGTGTCGCGGCGCCGAGCACGGTCCCGAGGACGGCGCGCGGGATGTTCTTGCGCGGGTTGACGGCTTCGCCCGCCAAGCAGCACACTTCGTCTATTCCGCCGTCGAGGTTGCAAGCTGGATAGCATATTTCGGGCAAATGCACGTACCATAGCCAATGTAGCCGTAGAAGCTCGCGCTCGCTCCGAGCATGACGCCGGGCCACCCAAAGACGGTTTGCCCCGACGCGTTGGTCGTTGACGGCGGCACGAACGGCGTCACGTTGGCGTACTCGAACTTGGTCAGACCCGCGATAATGATGAAGAGGACAACTGCGATCTTGGTGAGCGTAATGACGTTGATGAGACGCTTCCCGAGCGTCATGCCGCCCAGCACGATGAGCACACAGACCGTCTACGCACGCTTGCATCCAAGTACTTCGCATAGAAGAGTTCGCTACCAAGAGAAGGCCTGCGTAGAGATCAATCGAAGTGCCGGCAGGGCGCATCCACGCGGGGCTGTCGACGTTGAAGAGGAGCTTGAGCCACACGACAAACTTGCCGCTCCATGCACGCGCGTTGCCGGCGCTCGAGATGCCATACTCGAGCGTCAAGAGAAAGCCCGCGATCGTCGCCGGGAGCTCGCCGAGCGCATGGTAGGCATACGCGTACGTCGAGCCATCGGCCGGGATGAGGCACGAGAGCTCCATGAACGCGCCGCTGCTGAGGATGCAGCCAGCGCCCGCAAAGATCCAGCTCAGCACCGCCGCAGGTCCGGCATAGTTGCGGGCAATCTACAGCCGCGTTCTTAGCATTATCTTATTCGAGCATGCGGGCGTACGTACCAAGCCGGCCGTGGCGAAGACGCCGCTGCCAACCGTGCCACCGATGCCAATCATGATCAGATCGAAGAGCTGCAGCGAGCGCTCGTTCGTCTCGTGGCTCTCTTCGTCGCGGAGCTGCGCGAGCGACTTGCGGTGCGTTGCGCGCGCCCAGAGACCTGGCTGCTGCTGCATCGAGGACGTGTCGGAAAGTGCACTTGATTGTAAGTACCGCAGTCCTCTGATTGGCTAAAAAGCTTGTTTAAAAGCAAAGGATTGTGGTCATTACACTTGATATGTGTATGGACTGCAGCGCCAACGTAATTTAAATACGCCCTACGCCCGTATCAAGGCGTCGTGGGCAAGCCCTTTCGCGGTCGAGAGGAGGCGCAGCACCACCGAGACCTCTTCGACCTTGGTCATCTACATGCATTCGAGTGCGACGGAATAGGATTCCAGTGATGTACGGAAGCGTCCAGCTTGAGCATGGCTTCCATCACGGTTGTGGCGGACGAAATAAGCTCGATGCTGGCGCGGAGGCTGCGAATGGAGCGCGCCTCGTGCCGATGGCCCAATAATCTAACGTCCAATGAAGTACAGTGGCCTTCCGATAGGTGTCGACGTACTGGTGCCGCAACCACGCAGTCTCCTCGACAGGTGTCAACTTTTGAAACGCGCGGATTGCAAGCAGTTCGACGTAGACCGACTATTCGACGACGAGGGCTAGGTGTACGACTGCAATGGATGCAGGCGACGTACGCGCAGGCGCCGATTCAGGGCCAAAAGCACGGTCGCTTTTCGGATTGTTTTGCACTTGTTGGGGTAGTGGTGGCTGCGCAAGATCTCGTCCAGATCTAAAACCGGGTTGGGATCTGCGAGGCATGTCGCCACGTACCACATCGCGAGAACGAGTACGCGTCGACGTACGTCAGCGTCCGCGCGTCGTAAATTGTGAGCGAGTCGATCTTGTTCAACAGCATGTGCTGGCCAAAAATCTGGCCTTGGTGCAAGATACGGCCCCGCTGGGCCACGAGCCCTAGCGGTGCAGCCACCTAGAACGCTACTACATCGACATCGAGGTACCTTTGCTAATGATAAACATCTTGCCCGAGATCTCGCCTGCCCGCACAATCAGCTCTTGTGGTGGGTACAGCTCGGCTTCAATGCGGCGCGAGATCGCCGTGACGAACCGGACATGCTCGCCGGGCGGACCGCCCATGAAGAAAGGAATCTAATACATGCGTAGAGTCGACAGTCTCGATTTGCAGTGGACGTACCTTTTCAACCCACTCGCCCGCCGTGAAGACGCACAGCTCGCCTTGGAGGCCCGGTGAGAGCATGCTACGCATACCCACGCGTCTCGCCATGGACATGCAACATCAAAAACCGACTTGATGACGCGGGAAAAGTGGCGGTGCAGCATGAGATCTCGGCGATGCAAGAAATATTCGCGCAGCCGAAAGACCATCTCGGGTGGAATGTCTTCGCGCTCCATGTACGCATTTAAGTGGTCCTACGTACGTCGCTTTCCACTGTACATGCAGCATATAAGATGACTGTACCATTTGCTGGTTGAACTCGTTGGAGGATTCGTCCAAGCTCGAGACAAGGCCACAGACCGAGCCGACGACTAGGACGGCAACCCGACATGCTAAACTCCTCGAAAGAGAGAAGATCGTACTGAACGAATAGGTCGCACAGCCCGTGGTTATGCAGAGGATCGCCACGAGCTTCTCGAGGTTCGTGACCATGGGAACATCCCCGTACCCGATCGTACCGATGGTCATGACCGACCTACGTCGCGTTTAGATACCCCAGTTTTGGCATTTCAGCTACCAATAGAGCGACGCAATGTACAGGGTCGAGGACGACGAGCCATTGACTTGATAGACGACCTCCCAGTTGCGCTCGTCGTCTTGGTACTGCGGGACGTAGCCCCAGAGACATGCCATCCAATGCGCCAGAAGGATCTACATGCGCTTCAAAACGCACGCTTCGATATCGTGTCGTACCATCACACAGGCGTATTTCCCGAGCTGCGTCATAGCGACAGGAAACCCTAGCACCGCCTTCCACCGCTGCAAGATGCGGGACGCTCGAAAGACGCGGGTGAGCTTGAGAATGCGCAGCAGTCGCATGACCTACTCCATCGTGTGCTCCAGCCGACGAGGACTCTCAAGGTACTTGAAGCGCCTTGACGTTTTGCGTCTGGTGCAACGTAAACGCGGTCGAGGTCGCCATGCCCTTCTCCAACCGTGAAGAGAGATAGATGCTCGATGTAGAAAGTACCCAGCTAATCAAGTCGTAGGGGACGATCGAGACAACGTCGAGCGCAAACCACCCTAGAAAGAGCTCCATATCCTGCTACACACGACGACGCTGACCTTGGACGTAGTGCAGGACGATACTGTGCGGGTCTTCAATCAGTTGGTTGGACGCGACATCCATGTAGGGTGTCATAAAGTTGATGACGCAGTCGACGACGAAGACGGTGTCGATGACGCGGTTCAAAACAAAGAGCACGTCAATGACGTCGGTGGTCGCAAAGGCAATTTCGACCGGCTACACCATGCATCCATCCATCACACTTGGAAACCAATCCGCTGACAACGTACGACAGCAATCGCCGTGTAGAGCACGAGGCCGATCAAGACGAGGTCCCAACCCGCTCGAAACGAACTCGACGGATGCAGGACGCCCGAGCGACGAGGGTGTCGGGCCGTCGATGGCACGCGCGGCGCCGGCAGCTCTTTCGTGACGCGATGCCGCACGAGGCCGCGGTTCACGAGCATGTTGTTTTCGCGCAGCTCGTACAGCGAGTAGCGCTTGCGCTCGTGCACGATCGCATGCATCGACGAGGGCACACCGGCCGTGAGCTCCCGCGCCTGCACACGACAGCATCAACCTCGTGCGAGGTCCTCATCACCGTACCTTGGCCAGGACCGTAGCCGAGATGCGACGAAGCGACGACCGCTGGGCATCTGAGATAACGTCAATGAAGAGGCTTTGGCGTCGGTCCTCCTCGACCTAAAGCGGTCGAGTGAGATACGGCGCCGTGGACGTGTGTCTACCACAGGGATGAAGCGGGCGATCTGCACGGCCTTGACAAACGCCCGCATCGTGGCGCGAGGTTGCCGTTATCGTCGCGTAACCGAAAAAGGCGGAAATTGGATTTATTCTCGTGTTGCAATCTTTTTCGAGGAACGAAATTGCTACTACAATCGACAGGATTGCTACATTCGACAATATTGTACAGTCGAAAAATTGACGTGTTTTTTCTTTCAATGCAGTCCTACGCTTGCACGAGGCCGTCGTCAACGTCGCCAAGCAGATTCTTGAGAAACTTTTCCGTCACGCGCGTGTAGTTGTTGAGCTCGGAGCGGTCAATTTCGTTGAGCGGCTTCTCGGCCAAATGTGTGAGGTGCTCCGTGTTTCGTTCCAGATCCTACCGGCAGATACAGCTAGCGTGTCACAACGTGAATCGACGTACCTCTTGGAGGTACTCAAAGAGGTTCTTCTCCGGGCCAGGCGACAAGTAGTACGCGTAGACGTACGAGTACTTGAGGACGCGGCGGCAGGCGACCATGGCCTCGATCGCCGCGTTCAGGAAACCCACGTCCATGTACGAACCGTTGGCTTCGGCCTCAAACTCCGTCATGCGCGCGTCCGTGTTTTCGCGCATGCGAAGCGCATACCGCCCTGCCTCGGCGTGGTTAGCATAACTACGCAAAAGGAGATTTCAGTCCAGATATCAGATCTTATGGTCCCGTACCGCTGGTAATAGTGAAGGTAGCGGTCCAGCTCGGCCTTGGCACGCGCGGCGTCCGTGTCCTGCGGCGCTGCCGCCGGATCGTAGCGGTTGCATTTGTAGTAGCCACCCGTGGCCGAGTTGTGGTTGGACCACACGTCCATGCAGATCTACGTACGTGGGACGTCGTAAGCATGATCACAAGAAAACGCAAGTACGGACCCAGCAAAATTCGTACTTGCAACCGCGGCACGTCATGTGATTGCAGCCCTGGTTCTTCTCGATGCGAACCGAGCACTTCGGGCATTTCTTGGTGTTGGCAAGGATCCAATTGGCCGTCTCGCTCTCGTTCTTGCACTTCTCTTGCCAAAGCGCAAGCTGGTCGCACGTGACTGGCGCGTGAGCTTCCTCGCCGCAGCTACGGACAACATGAATACACGAACGCTTCTAAAACGCCAGGACTACCGAAGGCAGAAGAGGCAACCACACGAGCACGAGACGGTCGTGAGGCCGCCGGACGACACGATGGCATTGTTGCAGCCTGGCGCCGGACACCACCTGATGCTCCGGTTGATGTCGACAAACGACCGGAGCAGGTATTTATCAAACGCCTTGTACTCGTTCGCGGGCAAGAGCTTCTTGAAGACCGAGTCGCTCACACGCTACTTCACTTTCAACGCTGGCATTTCTTCAAACTGCACATACCTCCTTGCAGCCGTGCTGCGGGCACGTCGTCGTGACACACAAGGGGCCCTCCGAGATCTTCGTTTGCAAATACTCCACCCAGCAGATGCGGCAAAACAAGTGCTGGCAACCCAGCGCCGTGAACCCGCTTGCCGGCGTCTCCATGCAGATCATGCACGGGTACTTGCAAGTCGCTGCGTCGACTTCTTTGCCTGTAAAGCACGCTCTACGGAACAGAGAGCCTCAGCCCATTTGTCTGGCCATCGGCGATTGCATACCCTGCGGCAGCATCAACGGCTTCCGGGTCGCTCCAGTACATGTTGAGGAGCTTTTCCTTGTCCCAAAAGAGGTGGCGCAGGAGGAGGCTGGCCTTGTCGACCGATACGGACAAAATGGACGCGACGTCGCGGACAAGGTCATCCTTCTGCGTGCGCAGCAGGTCGGGCGAGATGATGCGGTACTCGTTCGAGGCGACGTCGGCAGGCGTGTTGGTCGGGGCCGCGATCGCCGGGCCGTCTTCGTCGTCGTCGTCGGCGTCCGACTCGTAGTCGTACTCTTCATCATCGTCATCATCCTCGACCCCAAGGCTCTCCATGTCATCTTCCTCGCGCTCCTGCTTCATCTCCACGTGGACGTCGTCCTCCGAGATTGCGCTCATCGTGGATCGGACGGCTCGTTGTTTTTCCGCAATGCGACGAAGTCCAAGAGCAGCCTCGGCTAAGTGCGGTTTCTATCAAGTCCGCACGCGGTTCTCCCGCGCCAGGAGAGCATACGAAAATCGAATATACTATCTGTTTGGGTCATGCACTCGATTAAGTACGTATGTATCCTCCCTTCTTCGGAACTTCTGTCCTCTGGCGCGACGATGCACAATGTCGTCCATTCTTCTACGGCGACAAGTGTCCAACTATCTATCAAAGTCATCATAGCCATCGAGCGTTTAGGAATCTACATTGTCATTTGAATGTCATTACGGCTCTCGAGCTGGAGCTGGATCATCTATCGGTGCGTAAATTGCCACCCTATTGTGCACTCACACCACGTTCTTTGAGACTGGCTCACACAATATCAGTGTCTTTCGGGGGCTATAGTGCGTCTAATATGTTGCTTGCTATGGCTCGGTCAAAGTCATACAGTGTAGTCTGCCACTAGCACAAAGAGTATTAGTGCTACATAGCAGACTAGAGCACTTGGTAGACTGAAGAAGTGGTATGAATTGCTGGCAGAAGCGGCCTGGGACATTTGCGACATTTGCACCATCGTGGAAAAGCAAGGCAAGTTGGGTCTTGAAATAGTCGGAGACATTCCGGATAAATCGCCGGAGGTCCAAATCTTCGGGACAAACAACAATCGGACCAAGATGGCTACAGCGGGCCGAGGACGCAAAGGGGTTCTAACGCAAGCGCAGCGCCGCGAACGGCGACGCGAACGCAACCGCGCCTACTACCTCAAGACACGCGGCCTTGTGAAGCATGAGAACGCACATGAGACAGTCGGGTCCAGCGCTCCTATCGGCGCTGACAGCGACACCGTGGCCCAACCTCACGCTCTTAGCAGCGTCGTGTCCGAGCCGAGCTCTCCCGTTCCAAGCATGCCCAAGACACCGATGGAAATCAAGCAGTCTTGGATCGACGCGTTCGAGTTGGCTAATCAAACGGTGCAGCTCCAGCACACATGAACACGCAATAATGATGAATTTCAACTACTTAAATTTCGAGAACTTGACGCTGTTTTGTTGTGTATGGCTCGGCTTCGGACGGCACCGCAACATGCAATCGCGCTGTGCTGAGCATATGCCGTGCACGCCGGGTCCAGTGCCGTTTGAATGATCGAGAGGACGTCGCTGGCGCTCTTGCGACTGCCGGTTTCGGCCAAGACTCACCCAAAACCTGTATCAAATGATATAGAATTGTTCAAATATACAAATATAGAGGCTGGATCAAGCCAACAAGCTTCACAAATGTCAATTTCAAAATGAAAAAGCACCGTGTCAGCTTGATGATTTCGGGTATGCTTGGCATGAGCGCAAAGCAGCTTAGTCTTTACTGCCCAGCACGACAAGGCAGCCATTGTTTGCAGGGGCTGTACGAGTGTATGAACTAGACACGACCTGAAAGAACCCAAGATGTGCAAACAAGTAGCCAATCACCATCGCGTATTTTCAATCTTCTAGGGAATCACATCTCTTCTTCGACCTTTCCAGAGCATGGGGCCAAGTGCTGGGCCCGGTAAGCATGCTTCTAATGATTCACTTTCCGTTTTCTCAATTTGACAGCAAGTAGCATGTCGGACGGCTCCATCTTGCACTCCATCCCAGATTTGCAGTGGCTAAGCGCGCACTACAATCAGTTTGTGCGGTGCAACTCCAGTATCACCAAATCGCATCTTCTTTCTCTCACAGATGCGTGTACATAGGCGCAGGCTCCAGCGGCGGTGACGACTCGGCCGACGCCTTTGGCTCCTCTGCAGGATCCGCCCAGTCGCAAACCACAAACCAATTCATGGCCCGCTCCCATCACGCGAGCGCGATCAGCATCACGCTCATCGCCATTGCAGTTGTCTGCTTCGTGGCCGCCTTGATCTTTACGATCATCTACATGCGCAAGCGTCGCGCCGAGAAAAACCTTGTGATCCTCGAGGAAGGCAAGGTCGTCGACCCGTCGGACCAAGAGGCCCTCTTCCTCGAGTGTACGTCGGTTGGTGGCGCGGTGCGAGGTCCCAATGTGGAAGTAGGCGCGACGCCGGACGGCGTTCCCATGGCCAAGAAAATCGACATGTAATGTTGTTCCACGAAGTTCATGTATTCAATCCAATGTCATGCACTGGAGCCACTAAGTTCATGTAATCAATTCATTGTTATCGACTGAAGCCCTCGTCTTCTTACGCGCCGTGATAATCTGAGGCATAGATCATGGATGAAGCACAATGTATAATGTTCAAGAGGCATTTACCGCGTCGATGCGATGAGCCATGGTTGCATGACCCGCCCGCACAGCGTACTTGTGTGGTGTGGCGCGGTACTATCCCACTTGCAATAAAAAGTGGCGATGTCGCAACAGTACTTTATCGGGCTGGCTCCAATTCGCGCCGGCGTCGAGGAGCAGCACGATGGCCGCCTCGTGGCCGTAGCGCGCGGCCATGTGCAGCGGGGAATACCAGCCCTACGCACCCACCTCTCCACACGCGCTCTCTCGGAAAAAGTGCGTTTACCCAGGCAGCTCGGGCGTTGACATCGGCACCACGCGCAATCAGAAGCTTGATCGCGTCGAGATGACCGCCTTCGCACGCCCGGTGCAAGGCCGAGACACCCGACTATCAACTCTGCCAATGCATCAAGTCCATGTCCTAGGTCACGTACCCAGCGAACGTGGTGCACGCTGGCGCCATCGTTGACGAGCTGCTCGAGCCGCTCCGTGTCGCCCGCGCGGGCCGCTGCGCACACCGCATCGCGCATGATCGCGACCTTTCGCGTGAGCCAATGAAAACCTCGTATTATGCACCAATCACGTGGCGCGACGCGATAGCCAATGAGCGTGACTTGATTGCAGCGCGATGGCCGAGAAGGCAAAGAAGCAGGTCGTCAAGCTCCAGAAAGCCTTCCTGGAAGAGGTGCGGTCAAGAGTATGACAAGCGCCTAAGAACCATGGTCTTAGGTCGATGGCTGCGACGCCATCGAGCGCCAGGGCCTCCAGGCGCTCTCGTCGCTGGCCAACATTGCCGGTCGCCTGCCGCTCGTGGGCGACGCCAGCACGTACGGCGTCTTGGCCGCCATGCACAACGTCGAGACGCTATTGACGCAGCGCCACTACGAAGGCCTCGAGAAGGCGCGGCTCGCAATCGCCCAAACCGTGTACGTACTGCGACAACCATCCTGTCCTTGTCCTGCACGGTCGTAGCGAGTACTTTTTCGACCACGTGGAAAACATGCAGCGCCACATGAGCACGTGCGCCGACGTCTTTGATGGCCTCGTACGTGTTGCTACCGGTATCGAGTGCTCGATGACGACGACGACGATGGTAGACGCTGACGCCGTCGACACTCTTTCTGGCCGAGAACATGGAGTGGATGGAGAACGTCCTCGGCATGTACGAGCGAGAATATCCTTTTTCCTCACTAGGTCCTGCATATAAATTCGTTGTCTTGATGATTGTGCCCTTGACGCGGTGAAGAGCACGGCAGCGCGCAAGAAGGAGCTGTGTCGGGCACTGGGCTACGCTGACGTCGCGCTCTTACACGCCAAGCACGCCCAGTACCTCTCGTCGAGCCGGTATGGCGCCGTGAACCGAGACTACGGTGCTGTCAATTCATCTCTCTCTGGTCCACGAGCCAATGCTTAAGACAAACCGTTTGTAGTCACCTTGGTGACTGACGCGGCGAAAGCCAAGCTCGCGCAGGCGGCCAAGTACAAGGAGCTGCCCGAAGACGACGACGACGCGTAAGGATATGGAAACGAACTAGTAGATTCTATTGACACGTTTGTATCGCTGGCGCTTAAAACACGAGCTTGGAGAGGTCGTGCGGACGCGCCCTGTGCACCACGTTTGAGCTACAGACGAAGAAAAAACAAGAAACATGTACCCAAGGAGCCCGCGCGGCGCGAGGCGATGCATCTCTTGGAGCGTCGTGCGGGCGATCGGCGTCGCATGCAGCGTGTGGCGACCGGCTTCGTGGACGCGGACAAGAACGTAGTCGCCCTTCTGGAGCCGCACCGACGGCCCGGCCGTCATGGGCGCAAAGTCGACGAGGCCGGCGTCATGGACCATGGCCGACGCGGCTTCCGGCGCGACAGGCAAATCTATATAGTCTTTTTTGAAACATTGATACAAGAAATCCATCGCACCAGGAAAGACGCAGCGCTTGTTGGTGTCGGTGAGGCCCGTGAGGTTGAGCTCCGAGCGGCGGCTAGCGCCTTGGACCAGCACGATGTGGAGGCGATCCTGGTCCTCCACGAGGTTCTTCTGCGTCACGACCGTGTTGTACGTGTCGATGACTTCGGCGAGGCGGCGGAGCTTGGTCGCTTCGTCCTACACAATGTGCGCGGCTGTCACCACGGCGCGATGGCCATTCTTTGGACGTACGACGTTGTCTTCCATGCGGTGCGACGCATGCGTCTTGGCGCGCATCGAGTAGGCGAACATAAAGGCATGATCAAAGCACACGTGGCGCATGATCGAGAGCTGCGTACGATGGGTTAGCGCATGCTCCACGTACAAGAGCTACCGTACCGTGTCTTCGTGCTCGGCCTCGGTCTCGTCGCAAAAACCCGCGATGAAATCCGACGATAGCGCGACACCCGGAATCAAATTACTAGTCACAAACGACCGTCAACACGGCAGACGACCATGACTCGCTGTACCGCATGTTGTCGACAAGGCCCAAGTACGCTTCGCGCGAGTACCCGCGGCGCATGCGGGCCAGCACCTAGAAAATTTCTTGAGAACAAAGCCATGCAAGACGCGAGTAGTGTACCTCGGTGTTCCCGTGCTGCACGGGCATGTGGATCGACTTGCAAATGTTGGCGCGTTCGTTCACGAGGTGAAGCACGTCGTCGGGAAAGTCCTTGGGGTGCGGCGACGTAAAGCGAATGCGAATCTCGGGGTCGACGGCCGAGACGCGGTCGAGGAGGTCGGCGAACCGGAAGCCCTTGGCGTCACGGGCCTTGAACATGTTTTGGAACCCGGTTGCCGACACGTACGCACGGCCTTCCTCCGTCGCACCTACGTTTACATGTGAGAGACTTGGTAGCCATGGATGGAGGCCGACCTTCGGTCTGTCGGTCGTGCCACGAGTTGACGTTTTGGCCAAGAAGGACGATCTCGCGCACGCCTTCGTCGCGGAGCTGCTGGACGTTGTCGACGATCGACGCGAGGTCCCGCGAGCTACACATGTACCAATCAGAGGGTTCGTGACGCAGAATGCGAGGGTGTACCGCTCACGGCCACGCGTAAAGGGCACGATGCAGTACGAGCACATGTTGTTGCAGCCGCGCATGATCGAAACAAACGCAGCCGGGTTGTCGACGTCCGAGCGCACGGGCGCAATGTCGGCGTACGTCTCATCGAGCGACAGCTAGTACAACATGTAAATCAGTGTGCTCCTGGCAAGAGCATAATAATACTGTACCTGCACGTTGACGGCCGTGTCTTGGCTGCCGTTTGTGAGCACGTCCAAGATGGGCAAGTCCCGGTACGCGTCGGGGCCGACGACGAGGTCGACCATCTTGTCCGACTCGAGGAGCTTGGTCTTGAGGCGCTCGGCCATGCAGCCAAGCACACCGACAGTCTGGATCGTCGTGTTGGTCGGCGGCACCTCCAGCGGCTTGTTCTTTTGCATGCGCTTCCAGTAACGCTGGACCTTGACCTTGTTTTGCTTCATGACGTCGAGGCGGCGCCAGATCTTGGCCTCGGCGTTCTCGCGGATCGCGCACGTGTTGAGGAGCACAATGTCGGCGTCTTCGCTCGACGGCTTATCGACATACCTAGAGTGCCGGCATGAGTCCTGCGCTGCATGGCATGTAGGTCGCACCCGTGCTTGAGAAGGATCGCGCGGACGATCTCCGAGTCGGACGAGTTCATTTGGCAGCCGTAGGTCTCAATGTGGAACGACTTGGGCGCGTTGAGCTCCGAGAGCTCGCGCACCTTGGACGGCACGTTGACCGTGCTCACCTCCTGGACGCGCGCGTCGTCGACGGGGCCTTGGCTGTCGCGGATGAAGTCGGCGAGACCGGGCCCCGCGAGCTTGGCGCTATGCTGCACCTTGGGCGCCTTGGTCGAGAGCGAGCGAAGAAGCGAGAGACGCAGCATGACACCTACACCGTCATTGAGCCCACGGCGTCTCGTCCGTCGGCGTGTCTACCTGCAAGATGATGCTTCGAGTTTGCCGGCCAATCACGCTCGCAATCCGGACGCTTCAAGTGATTGGTGCGATTATCCGGATGGTAGAAGCCCGCCGATATGTCGGTTCACCACAATGCTCGAGAAACCGAGGTTCGTTCAAGGCTCGAGCTGCGGCGTGTCGACGCCTCCGTCGTCTCATCAACGGTCCTGCAGAATGGAAAATCAATGGCAAGACAGCCTCCAATGCCTTGACAAAGACCGTGGGCAGCGGTAAAAAGGCCGTCGGCAAGAGCAGCACTAGGTGAGTTGCTCAAAGGTCGTTGTGAGCATCGACGCCAGAGTATACCCACAGACTAGCAGCGATCGCACCGTTGCTTTTGCTTGGACGTCGACAACGGCAGTTGCTCATTGCGACTCGTTGGACAAACGTCGGTCGGGCATCCTGCCGACGATCAGAGTGGATCCTGACGTCGGGTCCCAAGCAACTTCAACATGGCGTGTTTTCAGCCAACCAAAACAAAATGCCAACGGTGCGATCTTCGTTCTCGAAGGGAATGCATCGGCGCCTCGCTCATCATTCGGTCATTTGCCATCGAGTTGCGACGTCGAAAGAAACATGCTGCGCTCGCCCATCGTTCGCCGCTCGCTCTCGCTCTTCAGCGACCCGTTCAACGCCAAGTCGTGGGAAGTTCTGCGCCCGTCGTCGTGGCACCCGCTCGTATCCCTCGAGCATTCGCTCCACGAGCTCAAGGGCTTTGGCCGCGACAAGATCATGTACGCGGCCCCGCACGTTCCGGGCACGACGGCGTCGGCGAGCGAAGAAAGCGAGTTCTTTAAAGACCTCCCCAACGACACCAGTGACGCGATCAGCGGTGACGCGCAGCCATTTGCCAACTACTCGTACAGCAGCGCCGTCATCGTGGACAAGAATGTGCGTTTTCGGCAGGAAGCGCTGGTGCGATGATCTCGGCCCTAGGGCAAGCGCCTCGCGAGCACTCGCCGCCGCTACGAGGACTCGACCGGCCGCCTGAAGGCCACCCACACCCGCGAGATTGGCGACAAGCGCGTGCTCACCAAGTGGAACCGCGTGGACCACAAGGACAAGGGCCAGTACGAGACGGTCTGCGACTCGGGTACGCACCGCTGGGGGTACATGCTGTATAAGAACGTATTGTAGGCTCGGCCGATGAGTTTGAGACGCTCTGGGCGACGACCGAATTTGGATTTGCGTCCAAGGAGCTCGAAGACGAGGGGCCACCACAGAAAGGGAAGGCGCCGGAGCTCAAGGAAAAGGCGGCGTAAGGGATAATCCCAACCGCATCGCTTGCCAGTCGTGGGGCACACCATTCTATCGTCTTTCGTCCTTGAGAAAATGATAATATCACTTGGATATTATTGCCTCGGGTTTGTAGCATTTCAACAATGTCGTTCTGCATTACCACGATGGTGCACAAGAGTGTTCAACCCATCGATGTAAAAACCAAAATTGAGTTTCAGTTGATGTCGATTTCGAGGAGCGCGACACCGATCAAGCAGTAGAGGATGATGAGCATCGCGCCTTCGAGCCAGTTGGACTTGCCGTCGGCGACGATGACGTACACGATGATGGTGCCAATGACGTACGTGATGGCTTCAAACGCGTTAAAGGCCAGCGACATGGGCGAGCCCATGATCCAGCCGGCGACGACGCAGACGGGCACGACGAAGAGCGAGATCTGCGTCGCGGACCCGATCGCAACGCTCATGGCCAGCTCCATGTTGTTCTTGAGCGCGACCTTGACCGCTGTCACGTGCTCGACAGCGTTGCCGACAATCGGGAGGAGGATGATGCCCACAAAGGACTTGGGGATGTTGGCCGTCTCGGTGAAGCCGTCGACGGACGAGACGAGGAACTCGGAGAAGATCGAGACGGTGACCGTCGCCACGAGCAGCGAGACGATCGACGCCGTCATCGAGAGCTCCGGCTCCTCCTCTTCGCTGTTGTCTTCCTCTTCCGCGCGGTGCGTCACGAGCTGGTAGACCATGAGCAGCACGTACATAATGATAAGGAAGAGCGCCGAGATGTGCGAGAGCCCAAGGATCGACACCTCGCGCGCGTCGTCCGTCGTGTCGACGCCCTTGGTGTACTGGTAGTACGACGGCACGAGCATCGTGAAGCTCGAGACAAAGAGCAGCGACATGTTGATGGACGCGCCTTGGCCGTTGAAGCTCGACTCTTTCGCGCCGCCGAAGTGACCGGCCATGAAGCACGAGCCGAGCACGAGAAGCATGTTGGAGAGCATCGAACCAATGAGCGACGACTGGACGAGCCCGACCTCGCCGCTCTTGAGTGCGAAGATCGCAATGATGACCTCGACAGCGTTGCCAAAGGTCGCGTTGACGAGACCGCCGATCGTGTCGCCGGCGTGGTACGCGAGCGCCTCCGTGGACTCGCCAAGGATGTTGGCCAATGGCATCATCGTGAGGAAGTTAAGGACAAAGACGGGAATGTCTCCCCACTGAGCCACGTACGACCAGATCGCAAATGGCATGAGGAAGAGGAGCGCGTTGACGTAGCTTGACGTGAGGAGGTGCCAGTAGGCGTGCGCCATGCTCGGCTTCTCGCCCAGACGCCGCGACGGGCTGCTGATGAGCGGCAAAGTCTCGGCGACAATGCCCGGGTTCTCCTGCACGGCAAGGCCCACCGAGCCGTAACCGGCTTCGACGTCGGCGCCGCCCTTCTTGGCCTGGCTCAAGATGAGCTTCTCGAGGTGGCGGACGCGGGCCTCGAGCTGCTGCGTATGGAGGTTGCGGCGGCCGTGGTGCACCTCGATACGGCTTCCTGCCTTGTGCGTCGAGGCGTCGTGCGAGTCGTCGCTTTGGCTCTTGAGGTACTTGGACGCTTGCTTCTTAAACATCGTCGAGAAAGGAAAAGTGAGGGAAGCGCGCCATTCGGTGTCCTCAGATGAAGTTTCTTTGGGACACCGCCCAAAGTAGGGGGTGTATCGAAAATACATGTCAAATCACTTGCCCATATATGGACGCGCCGAAAGGTGTGTGATGGGGGGCCTACAGGAATCAAGAAGGACCCTTCCTTTTGGACCCATTGAGGAACGTCCTGTTCGTCATCGGAAGGCTGTCCACTTGGTGCAAATCTTTCGTAAACTTATGAAATAATAGTGTTGCAAAATTGCAATTGGTGTCATCAGCCTTTTGCTTGCCTACGGCTCTTGGCTACACGGTACGGCAGGCCCAGCTCAGCGATGAATTTACGCGTGTCCTACAGCTGTGTCCTACGCTGTCTTTCACGCCGCTTGACACACGCTCGCACTCCTGGCTCGCATTGTCCCAGCAGAGGCTTCTGAACCCAAAACAAAATATAGACCCTGCTTTCCTGTGTATTCATATAGATCGATACCGGTAGACGTCTTGCGCGTCCTTGGACGCTCGTCCTCAAGGGACCCAAACAATTTTATTTCCTGGACCGACAACGACAACCTCTGTCGTCCGATTGCGACTGGCCTGCGTCCCGCATCCGGACGATCTATCCGGTGGTCGTACCAGTGGGTGTATAGTATACTGGCGTCAAGTGATCGGTATCCGGACAGGCGGCCATCGAATTGTTTTGTTTTCCAAGGCCGATTTCGTGCCAGCGACAAGACAGCGCCGGGATGGACGGGATCATCTACCAGGGCCAGAACATCTACGCAGCCGCGCTGAGCGGCGACTTCCCGCTCGTGGTGCTGCTCTGGGGCATGGCTGCTGCACAGCAAGTGAGTCCGTTCACGCCCGACGCCAGCATGAACTCAGCCGTGCACTTTGCGGCGCGGGTGGCAACATTGAGATTCTGCACTTCTTTGCGCAGCAGGCGTCGGCGCTGCGCCCGCACGTGACCGACATCATGGATGCACCCAACAGCGCGGGCGAGACGCCGCTCATGTACGTTGTGTGCTACGATACGTCGACACCCATCGTTGTGCATGTAGCCGCGCGGCCCACGCCGGCCAAGTCGCGGCCGCCAAGGCGCTCGTGAGTTTTGGCTGCAACATCCTCGCGCAGGACATGAACGGTAACACGGCCGCGCACCATGCGGCACACCAAGGCCATTTGTGGACGCTGCACTATTTATTGGAAGCTCAGCCGTGCGACGTCGACCACGTGCTCGGCGGCCAGTGCTTGATGCAGCGCGATATCTTGCACTGGGCGATTGACGGCGGCGACACCACAGTGCTGCAGTACATTCTCGACCGCGGCTACGACCCCAACGTGCCCGACTACGAGGCATTCGTAGAAATCACGGTCTGTCCTTACCTCTGTCGCGTAGGGCCGCACCGCACTGCACCATGCCATCTTGGACGGCAACAAGCCGCTGATCCAGCTCCTCCTCGCATATGGCGCCAAGAGTGACACGAGCGACGAGCGCGGGCTTACGGCCATCTCGACCGCCAACAACCTCCACCGGAACACGATTGTCAATATGATCTTGACGCCGACGCTGCCCGCGCACAAGGTGCAGCATGGATGATGTGTGACCCATTACGCCGCATTGCGATCGTAGGCCTTTGCGATGCCCCGGACGACGCGGTTTTGGGTGCTCTTGATCTACAGCATTCTTTGGTGTGGCTGCTTGTCGCTGAGCTTGGTTGTACCGTGGTACGCGTTCTTCCCGCTGCTGCTGCTCGCGATCTACCTCTCGATGAAAACGCTCGCCATGTCCAACCACAAACACACCAAGGGCCATAACCATGGCCGCAAGAAGACGTCGACGATTTCGCCCAGCGTCCCGCTCCACTCGGACCAGCGACATGGCTCTGTTAGCGGTAGGCCCTTTGCTCCAACAGACCTTGTCCCAGATGCAAGCGTACGTTGTTGTTATGGTATAGGCATTCAGTTTACAGAGCAAGAACGCCGCGTCCTCGACGACGAGGCTGCCCACGCGCAGGTCACGTGCGGCGCCCGCATCCGAAAGGTGTGGAGCCTTGTGGCCGCCCAGCCAGAGCTCGCGATCGGCCTCTGGTTTGGGTGGATGTTGGCCTTCACGGGTTGCCTGGCGTACATCATGTACCGCGATTACTATAGCTCGACACCATCCCGTACATCGTTTTGCAGTGGCAGCATGTTGGACTTTGTTGTTGTTGATGTAGAGTTCGACTGGTGGACCCCCAAGTTGCCGCTGGTGTTCGTCTTGGGTGCTGTCGAAGCGACCTGTCTCGTGGTGTGGCTCGTGCTGGTCGTCAGCGATGCTGGCCACGTCAACACATCACACGAAGACCTCCCCAAGATGCTCTCTCAGGCGGCATCGGGTGTCGCGCCCGTGGCGACGGAGCACTGTACCACGTGCATGGTGCGCTTCTACTTGATAAAAAGGTCGATGTTGATCAAGAAGAACGTAGGTGGCCAAGCCGATTCGGTCCAAGCACTGTGCGCTCTGTGGCATCTGCGTCGGGCGCATGGACCACCACTGTGTCTGGGTCAACAAGTGCATTGGCTTCCAGAATCACCGCGTCTTTGTGCTGTTTTTGTCGACGCAACTCGTCACAATCGCCCTCTACTTGGTGCTCTTCGTGCTCTGTGCGTCCATATGTCGTGCCATAGAGAGCGTTTTCTCAACACACGGTCGTAGATTTGCGCAAGGACGATGCGTTTCTCGAGTCCCTCTTGCAAACGTCACTTCCCGAGATGGTGGTTGTCGTATGGGCGACGCTCTGCTGCTTGGGGCTCGCCAACCTCCTCCGCACGCAGATTGTTGGCATTGTACAAACTCCACCAACCTTTTGTGGCGCTGACGAATCCTTAGACACGAAACGTGACGGTGAACGAGTCGATCAACTGGAAGCGGTACCCGTACCTCAAGGCCCATGGCAGCAACAAACGGACCAACCCCTTCGATCGAGGTCCTTCCCTCTTCTTCCGTTGTGTCGTATCATGGATCGGGTGGTAGGCGTCGGCGCCAACGTCGCAGAATTTTCTCGCACTCGGTCGACTACTTGACGCTCCGAGAAGCGCCTCGTGCCAAAATGCTCTCAGGAGACGACACGGCAGTGAAATCCGTGTAGTCGCATCCGGTTGCGCGATGGCCAATCGCAGAAGAAGGGACATGGAAACGAGATAGTCGCCAAGGATATAATACAGCGTAGACTTGAATACAAGCAGGGTTATACAATATAATGTCACTGCACGTCACAGATTCTCCAATAGAATGGCGGCCTCCTGGGATCAACTTGATATGATTCCGTGGATTTGATTGGCTGCTACAGTGCAAGGCCTGGCTTGTCGCGCCAGGCTGCGGCTCAGACCCTCGGCACAACGTCTGGAACGTCGTCATCGAAGGAGCTCTTTTATGAGCCTTTTACGAGCCGACTGGCGCGGAGTGTCGCTGCAAAATTACCCACCATGCACGGCAAGTTGTCGCGCTAAGATTTGAGGCACACAAACATCTTGTACAAATTGTGGTGCGGGTTGTGCTGTCTACCTCGCTCGGAGTATATACTGGTTGACGACGATACTATCAACTTGATACGATTCGTCGGATGACACGCATGACGTGGCAAACGAAGAGACTGCATTCGTTTCGTTTCTAGAACTGGCTTCGAAGACCGCCCTTGCTCTTGCCAATGTGCACGGGCAGCTTCTTCTTCGTGGTTTCCGTCGGACGCCGAAAGAGAATGCGACCGTTGGCATCCGTGGCGGGCGGCGCGGGCGCCGGTGGCTTGGCCTTTGGGAGACCGACGTCCCCCGAGCTCCCCGAGACGACAGCGCTGACGTCGCGACAGTGGTAAAAGTCAGGTGCCGCCGCCAAGAGCCAGCGCGGGTTGATCGCCGAGATTTCGCGAATGTACTCTTGCGTCGTGAGAACGCTCTGGTGGTATATGATCCACTCGGGCGACTTGAGGAACGAGTTGTGCACCGACGTTGGGTGGACATGCACAATGCGTCCGTCCTTGATCGTCCTAGGAGAAGATGATATCAACGGCGGCCATGAAAAGCAAACCACCCACCGGTATGTGGCGCTGCCGTGCAGCTTGGCCGCGTTGGCGAAATAGCCTGCGACAACGCACTGCAGCAGCGGCTCGGGGTTGGCGCCGCAGCTCAAGATGCGCTTCTCGTCCGAGCCAAATCGCTTGACATAGCTACGAGCGAGACCATTTAGCTAGTGAGTGGTCTGGCCCATGATAAAGACATACCGTAAGAGCTGCTTGCGGATCTCCATGGCGCGCACCAGGATACGATAGTTGAGGCAGTGCTCGTCGCACCACTGCCGCGTCATGTCGTTTTCAATAAACTCGGTGTAAATCTTGAGGTACGTCCAGTGATCGCCCTAGTAGTATTGACATTCAGATTCAGATGGATCATCGTTGAATCGAACGTACTTGGGCGTGGGCGAATTCGGCAATGCACTCGGCCACCTTGGCCTTGCGCTCTTTCGAGCCTCGGGGGTTGAGGAAGACGTCTTCCACCGAAAGCATGCTCGCAACGCTCAGCGCTTCTTCCGTGCACCTAAGATCCCATGCATATTCGATCTTATGCAAACAGAACCGACTTGAAGTCAAAGGACGCAAGAAGCATGCGCGACAAGAACGGGTCGACGGGAAACTCGGCCATGTGTGAGCCCAGCGGCTCGATGAGGCGGCAGTCGTTCCCGATCGCGCCCAGCGAGTACCTATGACGTAACGACTTAGCGCGTGGCGTTGGACGCAGGCGAGCGTACAAGACTTCGAGTGCGCGCACGAGCGCTTCGGCCGACGGCGGCGAGATAAAGTCGAAATGCACGATATCGTGGATGCCCATGCTGAGCAAATGGAGCACGATCGGTGCGAGGTTGACGCGCTGGATCTGCGGAATCGTGTACTTGGGAAACGCCGTCTTGTAGTGGTCCTGCGTCACGAGGCGGTAGCACTTGCCTACATAGAGAGTGGAATTTCATCACCATTTTTGAAGCTTGAGATCGTAACGCACCCGGGCGAACGCGGCCGGCGCGGCCCATGCGCTGCTTGGCCGCCGCCTTGGACTCGACAGTCGTCACGAGCGCTTCGACACCCGTGAGCGGGTTGAAGAAAGGCAGCTTCACGAAGCACGAATCGATCACGTAGACAACGCCAGGAATTGTCACGGACGTCTCGGCGATCGTCGTTGCAATGATGGCCTACATAGAGAGAGAGCAGGATGAGCACAGCAGCATGGCTCATCTAGTACCTTGCGCTCGTGGGGCCGGGTCGGTTCAAACACAGCTTGCTGCACGTGGACGGGCAGGGACCCGTAAAACGCCATGGGCAGCAGCGTCGGTGGTGTCGACTGGCTCAAGCGCTCGACGACGTACTCGATTTCTTCTTGCCCGGGCAAGAAGACCAAGATATCTCCCTAGAAGACGACAACATGGAAGAAAAGGCATGGCAATCAAAGTGCCAACCGGTGGCTCGGTGCTGTGGATCTCGAGGATGGTGTCGATGGCTTTCTGGAGGTAGTTGCCCGTCGGCTTGTCCAAGTAGTGGACGTCGACGGGGTACTGACGCCCCTCGACCGAGATGGCGACGGCGCTGCGCAACTTGGTTTCGGCTTCGCGCTTCTTGCATGTAAAATAGCGCACAAACGCGTCAATGTTGAGCGTGGCGGAGGCGACAATCTACACATTTGTATCAATCTTGCGAAGTATCAAGTGGGATTCGTCGTACCACGCGCAGCTCGGGGCGCTTCCGCAGCACCTTCTTGATGAGCCCGAGCAAAATGTCCGTCTCGAGGTTGCGCTCGTGGGCCTCGTCCTATCGAGATACATGCATGAGGCGAGCGCCACGATGCACCGAGCAATGTACGAGCATGATGACGTCGTAGCGCGAGAGAAGCGGGTCGGACATGGTCTCCCGCACGAGCATCCCGTCCGTGCAAAACTTGATCATGGTCCGATCTTCGTCCCACTTTTCCTCAAAGCGGACCGCGTACCCGACCTATGGCCTGTGAAGTGAAGCGCGGTGGGCAGAAACGTAGCCGGACCTCGCCACCGAGCCGGACGCCCATCTCCTGCGCAACGCGCTCCGCAATCGTGATGGCCGCAATGCGCCGCGGCTGCGTCACCACGATGCGGCCAAAGCGGGCGCGGTGGAGGTACTGCGGCGTCTGCGTCGTCTTGCCGCTGCCTGTCTCGCCCGCGAGGATCACGACCGAGGACGTCTCGACCGCGTAGAGGATCTCGCGCTTCCGGGCCGCGATCGGGAGAGCGGTCGTCGGAGGCGCTAGCACTGGGATTGGCAGGTCCTCGCCACGGTCCGAGAGCTGGGCGTAGTTGCGGCCCGGGACCATCATGCTTGGACGACCGCTAGCGCTCCGCTGCATCGTGCAAATCGGTTCGATTCGGACAAATACTGCCTAATTAGGATGTGCTGCATCCTAAAGATACAATGCCGAAATCAAGTGCAAATGCCGAAAATAAGCCGTTGTGGTGAGCGATCTGGGCAACCAGGGGGCGGCGCTAGACGACACTAGGTGGCGGGCATGAAAGGCACCACCTCATCATCACAGATGGTGGCGCTCTAGGTCCGCTTAGCAACCCGACCTGGACCGTAGTGGACTCCATCGACCTGGACCGTAGTGGACTCTAGTAGCCTCGGGGTTAGGGTAACCTTTGGTGCGTAGCACGCGCAAGAGAGTACGAACATTGTCTTATCGACGGGGAAACTCGTCTCCTGGTTTAGTACCGGAGCCGCACTACGTGGCCTTGAGCTTCACGGGAACGTGCACCTCGACGACGACGTTGTCCCAATCGCCGCTCTCAACGTCGGCGCCCATGGGCACCTTGATGTACACCTCGCGGCTCGGGCCTGCTTGCTCGTACTCGGAAGCTTCGACCCACGGGAAGAGCGCTTCGTACGCAGACGGGATATCGCCCATGGCGCCGCGGTGCGTGTATACGGCCATGAGCGCCTCTTCGAGGTCCTTGACGACAATGCGGTCGTGGGGCTTGACTTGGTCCGTCGGGTCCAAAGGCGCGCAGACAGCCATATCGATCGGCTCCATCGAGTAGTACTGCGAGATGGTCGGGCCGCGAGGCGCGAGGCCTTGGCTCAGAAGAGACGGCAAGAGCTCGCCCCAGAGGTCGCCCTGGTCGCGAAAGGACGCGAGGCTCGCGCGCAGCAACGCGACGCGGATCGGCTTGACGGTTCGGAGCTCGACTTGTGCCATGGCTCACAAAACAGGAAATGAGCGCGGTGCGAGCCGACCCCACCATTGAAAGGCCAGTGATTGGCGCATATCTTTTGGGCGGGCACTGCGATTCGCTCAAACGATTGTATTCTTGCCAATCAGTCGCAACCCTACCTCGCACCCGCGCCAAGATGCCGCTGGCTCCACGCAACCTGACTTGCCGCGCAAATGCGATTTCCGTGGAGAGGTTTCAGCACCACCGACGACTGAACGCACGCGCAGAAACAAGTCAAACTCAGGTCGGTAGATTCGTCGCTTTGACTGGAAATGCGGCAGTGTCCAGGGAACGAAAAGTGGATATCTTTCAGCAAAAAGTGGTGTATTTGCCTCTCATCCTGTAGTGCAGGAAATGACCCAGCGGACCGCGGTGACAGTGATCAACCAAGTGTCTTCAACTTCGAAATGGAAATTCCAGCGAGACGGTAGACCAGCACTAGTACCTGAACGGTAAAGCTGCTCAAACACGCTGCTTCGATTGCGATGGTTCTTTTTCCTGTGAAAACACATACATATTCATGTTTAGAGGAACACGACCAGGGGTACCCTTGAATACGACCACGCACCGCGCAGCGAGACTGTGAGTCGCCAAACGGAGCCACAATAAGCTCCGCTCAGATTTGGCATAGTGCTAGAGGACACTTCAGTGGTCACAACGCGCCATTCCATTCGATCGGTCGAGGCTCTAGGGCCAAGAATTTCAGAGAAAGGTATTGCACTTCTTTTATTACTATTCTGCCAAATACAGAGTTTCAGTATGCTATTTTATAAATCGAGGCTAATCGTTGAAGGTGTGCTCCATCCGAACCAGGCTGTTGGTATCCCGAGGAACCGACGCCCATAATCCAATGGCCGTCGCCCCGGATCTGGTCCAAGCTTGATCGCTGAAAATTTATTTTGTGCACACGCGGAGGTTCGTGTTGGCACGCAGCATCGTGTCGCGTCGCGTGGGCAAGGGCAGGACTTGGTCCATATTTTATCCGGAGGCTTTATCCGGATGTGAAGCTGCAGGCTCGGCAGGGTGTCAACCATCTTTGGACTTGGAAACGAAGTCTCGTGTTTCGTTCTATGTGGATAGCGGATGACGCAGGGAGTCCAAAAACCGAAGAATCGTGCTCGTAGCTGGGCTACAACCTGTGTTATGCGCCGTTCAAGTTGTGAAAATTGATACTATATTCTAGTATCAGTGTATCAGTGTGTTAGCAAACATCAGCGCCGAAACTCGGTTAGCCCAGTTACGAGCACGATTCTTTGGTTTTTGAGCTCCCTGCGTCATCCGCTATCCACATAGAACGAATCACGAGACTTCGTTTCCAAGCCTAAAGATGGTCGACACCCTGCCGAGCCTGCGACGCCTCATCCGGATAAAGCCTCCGGATAAATTACATCCTGCCCTTGCACACGCGACGCTATCAGTTGGCCTACTCGGTATTGAAGCGAGGTGAGCCGCTCCATAGAGGCGATTTACATGTTTGTAGAATTGCAACGCTAGTATGGGCTGGAAATGCTTTGGAAATGCTTTGGAAATGCTTGGTTCTCACTCACACAAACTGCGTGCGAGGGGCAGCAGAGCGTCGCATCGGGCAGCCGCTCCACTTGTCATCAAAGCATCTTTTCACGTGTAGTCGGAGCATCTTTCTCCTAGCGTTCTACTCTCTTTCTACCACGAGACGCGCGGAAATGAAAACAAATCTCGAATGGAGCACCACACAGAGCTTATCAACTCACAAGCAGCGTGTGATTGGCCGTAGCCACAAATCCCACTATATATTTTATCCAATCCGATCCCGTAGAATGCCACAACTCCTTGGATTGGCTCTACATTTTCAAAAGTAGCCAATCCCATGCACGCGCTGCACAGGCTAGTGGCGCGGACGGCCGTCCGTCGTCTGCCCTCTCTGGTCTCGGTGCTGCTCGTCCCATTCCTGCTGCTACTGTGCATTGCGCCATTTTTCTTTGTGCAGCTGCTCGCTGGCGAGAGAAGCGCGTCGCATCTCTTACGCAGCAGCTCGCGTGCCGTCCTCAACGTGCCCACGTACAGTCCTTCGACCTTTCAAGTGCAATCGACATCAACCGGCGCAGGTATTGTCATTCCGCTGCACAACAATATGGCCGCACTGGGCGTTTCGCTCATTCTTGAGCTTCGGCGGCTCAACACTACGCTCCCGATCCAGATCTACCACTGCTTCTCTGGCGAGCTCGTGGACGAAACGCAGGCGCTCTTGCGGGCGACGGACCCGCTCGGCCGCGTCGAGATTGTCGACGCATGCGCACTGCTTCTGGCAAATGGGGTATTTTCAAGTCACTGGGTTGCACTCGAGTACCAGAGCTACTTGATCAAGGTGCTCGCGCTCCTCCACACGTCGTTCGACCAAGTCATGCTTATGGACGCAGACGTCATCTTCTTGGAGTCGCCGGACACTCTCTGGGCCATGCCTGGGTACAGCCGGACAGGCACACTCTTCTTTTATGACCGGCGGATCAATGTGCCCGCCTTCTTCAACACGCCAATGGTGCAGCCCAAGGGACATGGTGCGAAGAAGACGCTTTTGCATCACTTGTACCAGCACTTTCCGTACGCTGCGTTTGGCTTGCGCCAACCAAGAATCTCGAATCAATTGCGCGCGTCGAGCGCGTGGCAGGGTGCGACAGCTCACGAACAAGACTCGTCGATCGTTTTGATCCACAAGGCACGCGTCGCCCCCGTCGTGTGGCAAGTGCTCTGGCACTTGGTGCACCACCTCCGCTTTGAGCGCGCGTACAAGCCCGGTCTTTCGTGGTAGTTTCAACATCTCCGCTTCCAGCACAACTTGGACCGTGCATAGGGGCGACAAGGAGTACTTTTGGCTCGCCTTTGCACTTGCCGGTGCGCCGTACGCCTTTTCTCCGTTTGCGGCCGCCAACGTGGCGCTTCCAGAGGACATGCTTCTGCACAACGACACGCTCTGCGGCAACCTCGCACACTACATCCCCTCCGAGACCGAGACAGATGCGACCCGACTGTTCTATATCAACGGCAACGACGTGCTCTCGCCGTACTGGCGGGAATCCAAAATGTACGCAGTCGCTCCGAATGCGCCGTGGGACGCGAAGGAAGCCTTCTTGATCGCACGCATTCCGTCGTACGTGACGCCGCGGCGCACCCAACGCAATCAAGAAGCGCACCGCGCCGGCTTGAACGAGGCGTGCTTGGTCGGCCAGGGTGCCCGTCACGTGACCGACCCGAGGTTTCGACCACATGTGGTCCAGCGTATTAAAGACACCATTGCAGCGGCGCGAATCGTCCACACCAAGCCGCCCAACAACTGGGACGCTGTCGCGGCCCGACAAGGCCGCCCGCGTGCATAAAACCAAAAACGGCATTCTTCGTACTGTAGTGAAATGGCTCTTGGCGCCATTTTTCTTTCCACTGCGATCATGTATTTTACGATAGAAAAACGCTTTTCACGCTACAATTGTACGAAAGAGCAAATTGACGCCACGAAACACTACCTGGCACGACAAATAAGAGCTGAGAGAGTTCACCGAGGCGCGTCGATGCGCCTTGCATGTGAGAAGCGAGCTACCGACGGCACAGACGTGGGTGGACTTTGAAGTCTCCTTGTGCGACATGGCAACGCTCGTGGACAAGAAAAGGCAATTTGGCGATCGCCGCAGGACTCTACCTGGTCGCCTTGCCTCTTCTTTGTGACAAAAAAGGGTACCATTTGTAAACGTCGGATCGCATGTAGAACGCAGAACGATGGCAACGGCCGACATCTACCACGAGCCGCAGCAGCTCATGCGCTGCGGCGTGCACGCGGCCAACAACCTCCTGCAGCGTACGCTCACCTCGGCAAGCATGATGCAGCAACGCTCTTTGTCTAGGCCGCGCCTTTGAGGCTGGCGACTTTGACGCGCTCTGCACCGAGCTCTGCCCGAGCACGTGGCGCAACCCTCATCGCGGCCTCTTGGGCAACTACGACATTGAGGTCCTTAGCCTTGCGCTGCTTCGCCAAGGTACAGACGATGCCAGTGTCGACGTGCACCTTGACGCAATGGGTAGGGTGCGCGGTCACGTACTTTGATGTGCGGAAACCGCTCGCCGCGCTGCCGCTCGAGACGTGCGTCGGCCTCATCTGCAACGTGCCGCAGTCGAGTTTTCTGGGGCTTTGGCAGTCGCGTCACTGGTTTTGCATTCGCGAGGTGCGTCACAGTCGCCCGACGGATCGCATTTTACCTTGGTAACGTTAGGTGCATAACACGTTCTACAACCTCGACTCGAAGCTCGCGGCGCCAGAGGTACGGAACCGTCAATCAATAGCACTCGTGTGATAGCTCGTCTAGCCATTTCAGGAGGCGGCCAGTGTCCGTGCGTACCTGGCGGCGAGCCTCGCGACGCATCCCTCGACAACGATTCTCGTCGTCACGCGCACGACCCCATTACCATAGGAAGGGTTGGATAAGAAGATGCACGAGGTGCTGTTGGTATTGTAGGTTAATCTATGGACAAGTCGACAGTAGACTAGTAGTAAAAAAGTGCTTAGAGGATGCGGCGGCCGAGCGCCGAGCCGATGAGGAGGAGCGCCATGTCCACCGTGAGGTCGGCGCCCTTGCCCGGCGCGAGGGACGGGTTGACTTCGACCATGTCCAAGCCCACAAGCTACAATCACGCGTGAGAATGGTCCTGCAAACGATCGAGAGGCGTACGAGGTTGGTCTCGGCCACAGCTTCAGCGACGTAGTTGGCTTCGCGCCACGTGAGGCCGCCACGCACTAGAATGGGTCGCGTCAGTCAAACGGCAGCTGCAGGTTCAAGTGGCCTACCGCGCGTGCCGGTCGACGGGGCGTCGACAGGGTCCACCGCGTCAATGTCGTAGCTCATGTGCAGCGGGCGCTCCTTCTCGCCGCAGAGGTGGTCCAGCGCCATCTCCATCGTCTTGCCAATGCCATACCGGTCGACCGATTGCATGCAGAAGGCCTTGATGCCGAGGTCCTTGAGGATGCGCTTCTCGCCTGCAATGACAGTGCTTCTTGAGCGTATACAGCGAGAGGCGAGAAATTACCTTGGTCCACATCGCGGAGGGCAATGTAGACGAGCTGCTCGGGCTTGAGCACGGGGCCGTTCGCGAGCCACTCAAAGCCCGGGACCTTGGACGCGTCGACGAGGTTCTGCATCAAGAACGAGATGGGCATGCCGTGCATGTTGCCCGAGTCCGAGGTCTTGGGCGTGTTGATATCGGCGTGCGCATCGACCCAGATGATGCCGGCGTCCGGGTGCGCGCGGAGGAGACCGGCGAGCGAGCCAGCGCCAATCGTGTGGTCGCCGCCGAGCACGAGCGTAAACTTGCCCTGCTTGGCCTTCTCTTCGTAGACATCCGCGAGCTGCTTCAAGCCGTTGCCGACTACAGCCCGCTTGAGCCCGCACACATTTCAACAAGTCAACAATCACCTGCAAAGCTGCGCTTGGCCTGGCCGTACTTGGGGTCCATGACCGGGTCGCTCGCAGTCGGCGGCTTGATGTTGAGGTTGCCTACGACCATGTATTGAGACTCTTGTTGAGTGGCCATTGCACAAATGGACGTGTACCGTTCTCTTCGACGCACCAACCGAGCTCCGTGATGACCTTGTGGAGGCCAGCATTGCGAAGCATGTCCGGGCCAAAGTCGGCACCAAGCAGGGGCTGGCCATCTAGTAGCAAAGGGCTCAGCGACAAGGTATGTAGCAGCAGCAAGGACATACGGGTCATGGGCACGCCAATGACCGAGACCGTCTGCGGCGTCGCGACATGCGGGTTGGTCACGGGCGTCGGGTGGTGGCGCGAGACGACCTCGGCGGCAACATGCGACGTCGAGAAGATGCCACGCGAGAGCGGGCGGGCGAGGCGGGTGGCGAGGTGCGAGACAGACGACATGCTGCGGATGTCGAGATTCCAAAAGTGAGCGCAACCTAGTGCAAAGGGCTATCCGGATCCGGATCGCAATTTAATGCGCGCCACACGTGGCCATACTCAAAGCAGCTGTATTTTAATCATCAAGTTGAAGTTGCTGCCGGGTATATTTTTATTGATATCGGATACAAACCTATTATTAGAGGATTTGAGTGGATTAAAAGCACGAAGCAATTAACGCGCAAACACCGAGACGTCGTCGGACTTCAGGAACATCTCCATGGTCAAGTCGCATGCATCAAACGACCGCTTCTTCTCCACCTTAGTCTATCGTTAGTATGTAGAATCAAGTAGAGTATTGGTTAGGTCTCGGCGTGAGGTGCTATGCTGGGACGCTGCTTGCGCCATCAGTCGTGCAGCCGAAAGCCCACGAACCAAATGCTTTTCAAGTTCAAACGACGCAGCTGGGACAGCCCGAGCCGAAATTCGCATCCTTGAGATTCGGATGTTAGGACATATCCGAATCTAACCGCGGCAACGTCCTTGCGCCTCAATTTTAGGATGATGCAATGCAAGTCGACCGCAGTCGGTGGTCTTCGAGCACTTGTGCTTGCCCTCGCCCTTGTGCTGAGCACTAACGCCTTGCCAAGCGTGGCCTATGTCGGCGACGAGCTCGTCCAGCGCGTCGAAGCCTCTGGTAGCACTCCATTCGCAACACTGCGGCCAACGATGCTGCCTAGTCGCATGTCTGTCGAGCGTCCACGCCAACCTGCCCGACGCCATGATCGCCTTCGAGTACGGCGCGTGCATGCCAGCGTCCAGCTAATGCAGCGCTCGTAGGACCGACCGCTCGCGGCCATTGTCGCTGCTGCTCTTGTCCCAGAATGCCCACAACGTACGCAAACTCGCACTCCTTTGTGCTCGCCTCCTGGACGTGGCGCGTAGGAGCTTCTTTTGTCGCGCGATATTGTGGCACGTACGTACTTTAGCGATCCAAGTCCGTCGGCGCCGATGGCGACCGTGGACCTCGCGCACGTACGACAGCGCTTTTAGCGTGCGGAGTCTCATGCTGTTGTAGCTGTCGCACCACTCGACGAGCGAGATCCAGCGGGAGATCCACAGCACTCTCGTTCATATTGTCCGTGCGAGTCCCATGCGCTCGATGCTGGTCATCGAGAACCTGCAGACGTTGCCGTACGAATGTCATTCTCGTGGCTACATGGCTGATGCGATCGTCGTCCAGGTCGACCAAGCTCACGGCGCTCGACATCTTTTTGGACACGCTCCAAGGCAAGCGGTGCGTCTCGTCGAGCCTCGCTCCAAACGTAGTTGTGATCTGCGTAGCGCGCCGTTCCAAGCGGCGAGCGGGGACACCATCGACACAACTGGCACGGTCTTCCTCTTCCTCTTCACGACGCCAACGCCGATCGGAGACGCGCCGTGGCGCGAGTACATGGAAACCGCGTGGGCCTTTGAAGGTATGGCCTGGACGACAGTCGACGTGGGCTTTCATGCAGTGCTTAGGTGTTGAATTTACTACGTCGGCGCTCATTGGCCGCATTTCCGAGGTTTGTTATGGTAGAATTCGCAACACAACTTGAGAGCGGCAATAGGGTCTCGAGGTCACGTCGGCTTTGCATGCAGCCTTCGAAGAGAGCTGCGCGACCCTATGGCACACATCGACTGGCTCGCCACAGTACACCGTAACCGTACAGTGGGCGATCGCAGTGCTTGCACTTGGTGGTGTGTGCTTTGCAGCCGCCTCGTATCGCACCAAGGACGTAAGCCATGAAGTCGCCGAGCCCTTGGTCAACGCTCTTCCAACATCCAAGCGTGTCCTAGAGAAGGCTGCCAGCCCAACAGGAAGTGTAGCAGTCGAGGATGCGCCAGTGGCCGCCGAGAGCTGCTTGCCTACGTACGCAGCGGAGCCGACGTCCGAGGTCGTGACGGCAGAGGAGATAGTCGTCATCACTCCGTCTTCTCCAACGACGGTCAAGAGTCCGTCGACCAAAAAGGCGGCCAAGAAGAAAGCCAAAGCGTCGCCCAAGCCCACTCGCCAATCGGAGCGGCTCAAAGACAAGGCCAAGAAAGAGTGATGTTGCAAGTGTTAATAGACCTTGGAGACTTCCGAGACGAACACTTCTTCGGTCTCTTCCGCTTGCTTGGCGTACTTGGTGTCGACGAGCGCCGCCAGCTTGGCCTGCTCGTCCTTGGACATCTACGCCAAAACATTACATATCAGCACAATTATAATGAATAACCTTGTAGGGGGCGTAGTCGTCGTTGGGGAAGCGCGCGTGCTCGACGTCTTCGCGGTACGCCTCGAGGCCCTGGCGGATGCGCTCGCCCACGTCCGCGTATTTCTTGCAAAACTTGGGCACGTGCTATTTCATATTGCTATGGACACTTGATACACTGATAGTTTTGCATACCTGGGCGTGGTGCGGGTGCTGGAGCATGCCGAGCAGGTCATGGAACACGAGCACTTGGCCGCTCGTGTGCTGGCCCGACCCAATCCCGATCGTCGGGATGTCGAGGATCTCGGTCAAGGCCTTCGCGACGACCTACAATGACGCATGCTCGTCACGGCATGCCACGCAGAGCCCTGTCGCCTACCGAAGGCACGCACTCGATGACGACGGCAAACGCACCGGCTTTCTACGACATACGGGATAGTACTTAGGAGATGCATCGCGTGCAAGGACGTGGTCATACCTGCACTGCGAGCGCGTCTTCAATGATCTGCTCCGCTTGCTTGGCTAGACATGGGATTGGCGTCTGCAGGTGACGAGGCGTCATCCAAAATAAGTACCCGTGCGACCCTGAGCGCGGAAACCACCGAGCACCGAAATGGCTTGCGGCCGCAAGCCAACGTGGCCCATGACGGCGATACCGCCATCGACAAGCGTCTTGACTAGCCATGAACCTTGTCAACCGAGTCTGCCTTGCGACGACGTACTCGTTTCGGCGCGCTCGACGCCGCCTTCGATCTTGACGCAGTCGACGCCGCCCTCCTTGAGCAAGCGCTGCGCGTTCTTGAGCGCCTCAAAGCGATGGCCTTCGCACGAGCCAAACGGCATGTCGGCGACGAGCAGCGGTCGCTTGGCGCCACTAGTCCATGCTCGTGTCAGCCAAAGCAATCTCAACCATCGCTCATACCGGCAGACGGCCTTGGAGTGGTAAATGATGTCATCCAAGGTCACGGGAATCGTGCTAATATGAGGTTAGCACCAGGATGCTCGTGGCAGGAGCAAGCGTAGTACGTATCCATGCCCTAGATTCGATCCATGAGCCAAGTCATTTCGGCGTCGGCGATAACGTACCAGCTCGACCATGCCGACCGAGTCGCCAATGAGGAGCACGTCAAAGCCCGCAAGGTCCACATGCACCGCGCTAGAGCAAGGATGTAGGATGGATGATACAGATCATCGGCAGAAGGCGCGTACGAAGGGTAGTCGTAGGCCGTGACCATCGTGATCGGCTTTTGCTTGCGCTTGAGGATGCCGATATCGAGCGTCGTGACCTTCTTGCGCTCGAGGAGCTTGAGCGTGCGGTTGGCGACCGGGTCTTGGCGCGGCGCGAGGTCGCTCAGCGCGCGGCGCAGGTGGCGGGCCAACATCATCCTCTTGAAGCAATGATTTTTGTGTGGTTTTCAATCGCGCCTTTCCTGCACTTGATGTTTGTATGGACCGCGAACCGTCGCGAACAAGGACGAAGCAATCGATGGCGCCTCGACGCATCGAGCGCGGTGTCGATAGACAGAATTGTACATATTTAGGATGTGGAAAAGTCGTCTATTCGTGTCCATGTAAGGCGTTCGCCGCACCAACTTGGTGTCTTGGTGTCACTAACGTTTGGTTCAAAGTCTGCGTTTTTTTGCAGCTAAACGGTCGGAACCGAGTGCCTGCCCACTGGATGATTGCAACGACCAACGAAGTCATGCCCGTGCGACGGCCGTGGCTATCGCAAGGAGCTGCTCCTCGCGCACGCGGCCACGTTGGGACACGCCACGGGCTGTCACTGGACGAGCACTGCGATGGCGTGCGCACACATCCACGCTGCACCTGTGCAAGCAAGCAAAGCACAGTGGCACCCGCTCGGTGCATTTCGCGATCGTATCTACAGTACTACACTTGTTGTAGACCAAACCGGTCGCAGGGAAATGGACAGAATTGTCAACGTCACGACGATCAACAAATCCTTTGATCAGCAAATTATATTAGTGCAAACGGTCGCCTCCGACATACTCTATTGTCCGCAAAAACGACTAGACCGACTGGACAAAGCGATCGTCGGGCGGACGCCGCGCGCAAAACTCCGACCAGCCGGGCGACTCGAGCAGCATCGGCTCCGCAACTACGGCACACACTGCATGAGATGATCATCTTTCGTGCGCTGTCGACGTACAGATCGGACGCGGGCTGCCGTCAATCTCGTGGCGCACGTAGCACGTCAGGCACACGCGGTGTCGTGATGTCTTGGTGATCCGCCGGGTGCATTTCTTGCACAAAATCTATGAACGTCATCGTCTAGCGCCACCGCACGGGGCCAAACAAACCTGGTGGCACGTCTCGCACAGGGTTGGGCGCCGCAAGAGGTGGAACGCCTGCATGCAGTACGTGCACGCGGTCCTGTCGCCGCACGACGTCGACGCCTACACCATGTTCCTGCCGCACGTGTCATTGTTGCAAGAAATTACAAAGTCGTCGGGCCGCCACGTCGAGGCCGAGACGCTAATCTTGCGCGGAAGCACGTGGAAATGCACATAGATGCGCTCGTTGAGCGTATCAAAGTGCCGGAGGAGGCCAGCGCACACCGACTTGGTCGCATACCGCGACGCGAACGAGTGTCCGTGGTCGCTTTGCAGCAGCATGTGCGCTCGTGCGGATGGCGCTCATGGACAACCGTGAGCCCTGACTTGTACAAATGACCGCGCACAAAACCATGCGTCGCGACCAGCGACGGGGCGCAGCGGTGGTCGATCGAGTGCACGCAGCGCGCAAAGCCGGGAACGCCGTCCCGTCCGACATACGAGTCCATGTACTAGGACGGAAAAGTGAGCCAAGAAAACGACGACGAGCGTACTACCTCGATGACGACCACGTCGCGCGGCTTGACCCACGGCAGCGTCGAGGGCAGGAGCAGCCAGCGCACCGCCACGTAATGGTACGGGCGACCCGCGGACGGCAATTCGAGCGTGTACAGGACGGACGTGAGGAGGCAGTGGAAGGTGCGGCAGTACACGTCGTTGGCCTCGGTCGCTGTGATGTGATAGGTCGCGATCGCGTCCAGATTCGTGTGCTTGACGAGCGTCGAGGCGTGGAACGAGATGCGGTCGTCGACGTCCGGGTGGCGCGCCGGGAGCTGGACCGCGGCGTGGCGGTTGCGGTCGAGGCGCGCGGTCGTGTCAATGAGATCGCAAAAGGCCGACGCGCCGAGGGACACGAGCGACGCTTGCTCGTCGACCGAGAGCATCGGCAGGTGGAACACGGGCACGTGCATCGATATGGTCTCAAAGGCAAAGTGACGGGTCAGTTCCACACCGTCTGCTGGACCGATAATAATTGAACAACATAAAAAGGCGATGCTAGTCATTTGTTTTATTTACAGTACGACGACCAGCGTACTAATCGGCCTCGAACTGCCACTTTGCGCAGGACAGGCAGAGGTCGCTGCTGACCCCTTGGCCCCGTGGATGTTCCTCTCCGACATACAAACTGCAAGTATACGACACGATCATGGCACTGGGTGTTTACGATCCATACGAGCGTTGCCAAGGTTTTACTAGCGCGTTGCCATGGTGCAGACGGACGAGCCGCGTCCAGGGAGGAGGGAGAATCCTCCCAGCGTGCCACTCTGAGTCACTCTTCCACGCCGCTTTGCACGCAGTTCCTACTCTGCTTCAATGCCATCAAAAACGGATCTCTCCGACATCTTGGGCGTCTTGACGTTAACTCGCTTAGGCATCCAATTCGAACTGGATGCGGAGGTTCAGCGAGATGTCGCCCACAAAGACCGGGTCCGTGATCGTCACGTGCTTGCCATCCTCGACGAGATCCTTGATCGGCACATCCAGGTTGGCCTTGGTCGCCTCGTAGAGCGACGGTGGCTTGGGCATAAAGAGGCTCTTCTTTTCAGCGACGAGCGCCGGGCTCTTGAGGCGATACGTCTCCGACACCTGCCATCGATTCAAATAAGATCCAACGGGCTCAAGATGACGTACGGTCGCGATCACATCCTTGAGAAGCGTGTCGGGGTGCACGCGCAACACATGGCTCTCCGTCGCACACACGCCGCAGAAGCGCTTCTTCTCGTATTCAAACGTGTGGCTGTAGATACCCGTCGCACCCATGTGCATGTGGTAGTTGTGCATCGTCTGGCTGCAGTAGCTCATGGCCTTCAGCGCTTCGTTGACACACATGGCCGAGATCACCTACACAGATATAATATGACCATCCTGCTCCATACGCATTGGCTGCATCGTACCGCGTTGGTCGACGCGACGGCAGGGATGATGTTCTTGACGACGCCCAGCGTCAAGGCGTACGTGACGCCCGGGATGTCGTATTTTTCGGCGCGCTCGAGCGCCCGCTGGTAGACCCACTGCATGTGCTCGGGCGAGTCCGTGTCCATCTTGGTGTCCGGAAACTCCTTCTCCCAGAGGATGACCGACGCGTACGCGACGCAGTGCGCAGGCTGGCGCGGCGTCTCGGCGATCGTGCACATCGGGAACGACGTCGGCGGCGGGAATGCGTCGAGCGAGCACTCAAAGCACGACGTGATGCGCGGAAGGATCACGCGCGCTTGGCCCTTGAAGCCTTCGGTACCGCCGTCAATGAACGGAATGATCGTGCTATAATGAAGGGTTCAGCACCCATCGATAGGCGACTGCAACCCGCGTACCTCGGGTCAATGTCGCCGTCCTCGTCCATCTCGACGAGCGAGACGAGCACCGAGTTGACGAAGCGTCGGGCGTCAATGTTGTCGAGGCCCGAGATGACGAGGCGAAAGTCGCTGTAGAAATCACCGTCAAACGTGCGGAGATCGCAGTGGTGGGGCGTGACCTGCAAGCTCCATGAGTTTCCATGCACAAGGCGCTGCACGAATGTCGTACCGTCACGCCCTTGACGCGCTGCATGATAAACTTGGCGGCCACCAGCGCCTTGGGTTGCCCGACATCGGCCCGGCGGAAGAGGAATTGGCGGTTGAGGTTCGAGATGTCGATCGTGTCCATGTCGACGACGTGGATGTTCTTGAAGCCCGAGAACGCGAGGTCCTTGAGGATCTCGCAGCCAAGGCCGCCGGCACCGAGCACGAGCACCTTGGCCTCGGTCTTTAGAAAGTCCACAGTCGCGGTCCCCGGGACGAACTCGCCCATGCCCATGGCCTCGTTGGTCTCGTTGCCAAAGGGCGAAGGGCGCAGGAGGAGGCGGTGCAGGTCCCAGTCGCGCTCCGATGGCTGGCGGCTCACGTACATGTTCAGCTTGCGGGTCTTGGTCGGGGATGGGCTGGAGACGGCCGGACGCGTCGTCATTCACCAAGAAGAGTGAGCAGGTCCTCCTTGGGTTTTTTCACAATCCCACGCCCAAGTCGGTTTATCCGGCGTATCCGGATAACCCCCACCGCTCGTTTTGCGATCTTCGAGCGACAGGACGTGACCAAGCTCTGGTCTGGCAGGCCAGCACACTTCGTGGCCGATGGACAGAGCTTGTCGCCATGGGCAACAGGATGTGGACAGAGCAGGTACTAGTACACGCTGTACAGGCAGCCCGACGAAAATGAGCATGCATTGGGCCACGCCATTACGGATCAAGCGCGCGCTCTCGGACAGACAGACGGCGACATCGCCCATGACCAGCATCGCATATCAAGCACCATGAAGACACAGACGCAGAGGAACAAGCTTGGAATAATATAGGCCCACGCCGTGCGCGGGCGTGGCCAGCTTAAAAGTCGTATTGGTCAAAGTTGTAGTAGACGCGTTGGCCGGTGGGCGGGAGAAACTTCATGTTGGGCGCGTCGAGGCTGCGCACTTGGACGTTCGGTCGCTCGAGCGTCACAAACACCATGAGCCCCGTCTCGTAAAAGTTGTTGCACTTGACGCCTACGCATTGGCGCATGAGCCATCGTCCACGCATCGTTGCGATCCTCTCGACCTGTAAAGTAAAAGGGCTGGAGCTGCTGGTTGTGGGCAAACTGCACCGTGCCTTCTTGGCGGTTGAAGAGGAGCGAGACCGTGTCGCCGCTCTTGAACGGGCTTTTCTCGTAGCGCAGCATAAAATTGCGGTGCCTACATTGCAGCAGCCGTCACGAGAGAACCTTCGTCGCATCGCATGCATACCCGTCGTCGTTGGTCGGGTACATGGTCTCACGCCCGACCAAGAACTCGAGGCCGTTGCGCCAGCAGAGCACGGGGAAGTCCAGGTTCGTGTCCACAAAGCGCGCCGAGACGCGCGTCTTGGGGTACTCGCTCGGCTCGACGAGCCCGAGCGAGACGACCTGCGAGTTTTCGTACTGATCGACTTGGGGGAACTGAGCTCAAACTGCACGACGATCGAGTTGGGACTCGACGGCGCAAAGATGTCGTCGCCGACCATCGCGTTGACATACATGTTGTGCCGGGCCGAGATCGAAAAACTTGGCCTTGCTGCAGAATCTGCGCGTGCTTCATATAGAAGAGGAACCGCCGGTACTTGAGGTGCGCCGGAATGAGCTCTTGCTGCTGCTTGCGCTTCTTGATCGCGTCCGTGCGGGCCTTGAGCGGTCCTGGTGCCACGCACGCATTGAGTTCGGTGAGCATATGATCGAGCGACGTTGACGGCGGGTGCGTGATCGCGATCGCCATGATCGAGTTGGACTGGACACCCTTGTGTACGGTAGCGTAGCGAGAGCCAAAGACGTTGAGCTCGATCGACTGCCACCCTTTTGCCGAGATGTACTTGCTTAAATGCGGAAACACCACATCGGCGTTGAAGCTGCGCGAACCGTCGACCATGCACTCGCTCTCCGTGTCGGGGATCGAGGGCGAGACGCCGTCGTTGTAGGACGGCACGCCGTCGGTCGTCGCCGTTTCCTCGTCGTCCGCGTCCTCGTCGTCCTCATCCTCGTCCGCGTACGGGTCGTACTCGTCTTCGGCCGACTCAAAGTACCGCCGGCAGTGCTGGTCTGCCGACTCCAAGTAGCGCTGGAGCGAACCCATGTGCTTGAAATGGCGGTGCACGATGCGTTCGCCTGAGAGCACCATCATGTGGTGGTGCGCCTGCCGGCCAATGCTCACTTGGCCGCCGTTGGAGATAAACTTGGAGAGGTATGGAAACCACGCCTCGACCGACGACGTCTCGGTGTTGACGTGCGCCGGCGGGTGCGCAATGGGCAAGTGGCGCTCAATGACGGCGTCTTCGCCGGGCATGAGCGTCATCGGCGCCTTGGTCAAGTGCAAATCAAACATGTGCGGGTGGCCAAAGTCGGGGCACACGATCGAGATGGTGCCATCGCGCTGCTGCTTGAGCACTTGCGCGACGATCGCGTCCTTGCGGGGCATCGTGCCGTTGATCGAGAGCTTGGGCGTCCGGTCAAAGAAGAGGTGGCGCCGCAAATGGGAAATGAGCATCTCAAATGTGCACATGTACGAGACGAGGAGCTGGTGCCGGTCGCCCAGGTACGTGAGCTGGTACCGGCTGTGCATGTTCTGGAACGCGTGCAGCCAGTCCGGCGTCGAGAGCTGGCAGTACGCCAGCACGTCCGCATCCGTGCACGGCGTGGCTTCGAGGGCCGCGGCTTCGCGGTCGTACTCTGCGTTCTTCCACCACACTCCGCCGTCGTCGGCGACGCCAAAGTAGTGCTTGTTGAGATACGCTTGGCGCAGCGCACATCGGCGGCGCTCTATCAAGCGCGGTACGGTAGCCTCGCGCACAATGTCGTGGAACGGGAGCCCGGCGCGGATGCGCTTGCTCGTAAACGCGAGCGCGCAGAGGCTGCTCGGATCGAAGAGGCGCCATTTCTTGAGCTCGATAATGATGAGGGCAAGCACGTCTTCGCCCACGCCGGAGGCTGCATTGGCAGCCGTCTTCTTTGAAGTTGCATTCTTCTTGGTGGTCGCGGTCTTGCGCGCCTTGGGCTCGGCGAGCGGCTCCTTGGCCCGGCGCTTTCTCGGCTCCCGCTGCATTGGCGTTCTTTGCGACTCAAACGGCCTATTCGGCGTCCAAAAATCCGACTGTTACTCACCACCCTTTGATCTCGATGCAATGGACCGCTTTACATACAAATGCTCATATCAAACCATTGCATCGGAACAGCGAGTATTTTTAGACCAGGAATAGTCCGAAATAGACGTAAAATTCGGACTCGATCCTCAATGTTTTGACGGAAAAAGCCAGGCGGCGTGTCCACTTCATTGCGATGCGCCAAGGAGCCATCTCCATTCTCCTCACGCCTGCACGGCTTATATCTCATCGCCCGGGCACGCGTGGGAGGGTCTCGAGGCGATGAAAATACCTTGTACGGCCCCACTGCGTACGAAAAGAGCCTTAATTTACATCGCAGTCAGTGCACTGAATCGCGGGCATAGACATCGCAAGCCTCGTCCCGACGCGATCGGTGACGCAACGACGCCATCGCTTTCTTTCTCGCGGTGTCCATTATCCGGATGTCCGGATCGAACCACATTATCCGGACTTGTATCCGGATGTATTTTTTGCCGGTTTGTGGTGTTGGATTTTCTTGGCGACGATCAAGCGAGATGGCGTCGTACCTGCAAGAGATGGTGGACCGTACGTCATGACGACGCGGTGCGCAGCCTCATGGCCTCTTCTTATGTAGACATGGTCTCCGTGACGACGAACGACGGGCGCAACTTTGTGGTAGGCGTCGCGAGAAGAGAGCTCGCTAGCTCACGCCGAGATGGGTAGGGCACGCTCAAGGGCTACGACCAGTGCATCAACATCGTGCTCGACGACAGCTTCGAGCGTATTTATTCCGCCAAGGCCGACGTGCAAGTGGTCGACTTGGGCTTATATATTGTGCGTGGCGACAACATGTACGCGATCTTCGTTCTCGGGCACCACCGATGGCGCATTCTTGCTGTAGCGCCTTGATCGGGGAAGTCGAGCCCAACATCAAGCAGCAAACGCAAGGCGACAATGCGCGCGCAGAGCCGATGAAGCCCGTGACGCATTGAATCGATAAAGACCGCGTAAAGTCTCGAAGCGTTGCGAGCCACATCTCCACCGTCTGTGCATCTGCGAGCCATTGCGTGGCTACTTTAGGAGATGCGTGGTTTTGTGCTGTAGCGCCGGAACGTCGTCAGCGACGAGCCCCAGTGCACTGCAGGTGGGACATGGTCGCCCGGGTACAACTAGTAGTTTGGCACCCGATCCGCAGCAGGACAGAGACGTTATGGCGCCGTTCTGCATATTCAAGTGGCATTCGCAGGAATATAAACGACCGTCTTGCATAGAGGTGGGGTGAAGTTCCGCCGAGTTGTAGCCGCTTGCTCAACCGCACCGTCGTGAGCGTCACCACAGCCTTCTCGAAAAGACCACGCCACCAGAAGGGAGTAGCATTCGCTCATTTTGGAACCCTTCCAGAGCGACCTAGCATTTCCGTCAAAGTGTAGGATGTTTATGCTTACTCGTACATTGCGTTGTGTGTCTTCGACTGAAGTACTAGTAGTAGTACATGGTCGCACAGGACTCGAATAGTGCTTGTAAACGACCAATTGCTGGTATAACGTTATATTTGAATTTAAATTAATAGATAGTTCTCCAGCGGTAGAGTGAGAAGCGGGCTTGTAATAGGAAGGCGAGAGACGACTTAGAGACACGGCGGCACCAACGACGGCTGAAGATGGCCCTTGTCGTGCAAATAAGATTCGAGGATCGAGCGTCGCGTCGACGGATGGTGGCGAGGCGATTTCATCGGAAGAGGTCGATGGGCGGGTGGCGCAAGCGGAGGTTTAGGGTAACCCAGCAGCAAGCTTGGTGGTAGCTTGCGAGGCTTGGTCGTCTTGCGACCGAGCCACTCAAAGATGCACGCGCGATACGGGCGCATGGCGCGCTCGCCGAGACCTTCAATGTCATGGGCCATGAGGTCGTCCGGCGGTGCGATGCAGCCCACGTGGTACCAGCGCATCAAAATGTAGCCGTCCATGTGCGTGTAAATGATGCCAATGCGCACCGTGTCAATCCTACAGGCATCGCATAAGCGTCGCGATGGCAACCAAGGCGGCACGTACCGCTTGTGGCAGGTGCGACCTACAAGTCAAGTAGAAATTCATGAGCCTTCAAAGCTGCCACGACACCCGAAGGGTACATACAGGTGGGGTGTCGCGACGCTGGTGGGCACACGAGCACGGTGCTGTTGCGGGACCAGGACGCATCCGAGCTCGACGGCGTCTGGATATCGTAGCACATAAAGTCTACGGTCCGCGATGAGCTCCATGCTCCGGTTCGTTTGGTACCGTACTCGTCATGCAGCCAACTAAGAACTGGGTCGAAATGATCGTATCTCGGCCGCTTCTGCTCGAGGATGGAAATTCGAAACTGATTGTGTTTGAGGTGGGACGCAAAATATAATGCCACCATCGCGTTTATACTTGGCATGAGTATAGATAAGGTGTGCGCGTATTTTATTGCAGACGGCGCATACAAGCCGTTGAGCGTCCAAACGCGTTTTTATTATTCGGCTCTAGGATCGCGTTTTAATACCATTATTTTTATACAATTCATGTATTATTATGCGGCATGAATTATTTGACTCTGAAACGGTATGCCACAGGATAAAATACGTCTTATTTTAAATTCATGTGAAGTATATTTTTATCAATTTTGTGGTCTCACGGCACTATTTTTATGACGATTTTAGCCTTTGATGTAGCACTTTGGGTTTGAAAACGCACCCAAAAATCAGCGGGGCCGTTTCACGAATCTTTCCTCGCCGCGGATTGCGCCACGTATGTGCACGCAAGCGAGTGGCCATGCGAGAGAGGACTAGAACAAAGGCTCGCGATACAGCGGTCATGGCGCACCTCGACGTCGGACCGTCGATCTCGCGCAGTCACGCAGTCGCCATTGGTATGTGGGTGGCACACACTGTCGGGAGGGATGGGTTCAAGTATTGGGACGAAATGTACGGTGTAAATCCTCTTCAAGCAATGCAACTCGTCTGGTTCACTGACGCGTGTGGCATGTCCCATCGGGTGCAATTGCCGCCGCGATAACCGGCGTGTACTATGGTTCAACGCGCCAAGATACTCGTCGTCTCGGCATGCCACGTCGTGTCCATGCCACCACCAACTGTGTGAGGGTCCTCGCGGCTCCCCACCGCGTCCTCCTCAGTATACTATAGTTGCCTCCCGCAGCTAATCAGGTCAAAGAGAAAAAGTAGCTGCCGACCATGCTTGGAGTAGCGTCGCCCACGCCCCTAAATGGTTTTTATGTGCTCAACAGTGCCGTTGGCTTCCCATCGCACATGCAAATCCCTGCGATAGGTGAGACGACAGCGGTTCAGCCACTCGCTTGGTACATGTACCTCTACCGCGCCTGCCGACCCTCCTCCCTACCCATGGCGTCGCTTCCATGTTCTGCTACTCGTTCGATGCTTTGGGAAACATCGCAGCCCAGGTCGCTCATAGACGCACGCACCCAGCTGCCGCTTCGTTGGCGTCGCCTTCTCCTCATGACGAGATTTGCTCCGACCTTTTGAATCGACGCCAGGATGGGTCGTGGCTGCTTGTACTCCGAGTACGCGATGTTGCATCGTCGCCAAACAACCTTCGTCGTCCATGTGGTTTGAGCCTGGAACGTTAGCCGCAGCAAACGCACTGCACATGCTACCACCACCAGCGTGTTGTTGGCGGCTTGTGGTCAGTGAAGTCGGTGATTGCTAGTTCAATGACGCCAGGGATGCGATGCATCAACTCGAGTAGTCGATCGCTCAAGCGTCTCATGCTCCATGCGAGAATTGGAACAGACTTGACTCGAGCACGACACCCAATGCTCAATATGTCCACCTGCCACTACTACAGTTTGCCTTTTGTCTTGTCGAGCTAGGCTCGCCCACGATTGTCCTCCACCAATTGCACTCGTAGCGCCGGAAAATTTGAAATCAATTTGATCCGCTCCGGGAATTCGAACGCCGCTGCCAGAATGGTGTTCCTTCGTATCGTCTCGTCGACCATTGAAACGCGGCGGCACGCCAGTGCTCGGCTGCGCGCTTAGGAAGCGCCTCTGACTGAAGTTGAACCATGTCCACGCCAACTTTTCGCGCCGAAAAATTCGGCGAGACCTCTAGGAATGCATCTATATCAATTCTCCCGTAAAATGATATGCTACGGGTTTTACCGGAAGACAGTCACCTATCCGGTTGCCACGTCATACGATGGGCCAAATATAGCGCGGCCATCGTTTCTCTCCATGATGCTCCTATACAGAGGTAGACAATGGTCTTTATATGCTCACAAAATGAAATAAAGTCACTAAAGCGGGGTCATTCTATAATAAGCCTTTTTGTATTGGCTCGTTTCCGGTGAATTCAGATATTTCGGCTCAGGTCGGCAACATGAGCAGCGACGAGGACATGATGGTCAAGATCGCGGTCAAGAACGTCTACGAGCGCAACCTGACGGTGGCCCTCGAGATGGAGTGCTCGAGCTCGATCCTGGCGCTCAAGGAAGCGCTCCAGGAGCGCATGGACGCAGAGCCCAAGCACCAGCGGCTCATCTTTGGCGGCAAGATTTGCGAAAACGTGCAGACGCTCGCGCAAGTGCTCAAGCGCGTACGTCGTCGCCGCCTCGCGACCGCCTTGGATCTCACGCATGCATGGATGTAGATGGAGCCGAATGAAGTGTACACGTTCCACTTGCTCGTGAGCAACCCCGAGAAGCCGGCGCCGACGCGAAGCCCGCCGACGTCGGCAGCAGCACCCGTCGCGTCGAGCCCCGCTGCTGTACCAGCAGCCCCGATGCCCGTTGCGCCGCCCACGATGGTCGCGCCCACTGCGTCGACGGCGACGTCGCCATTCACATTTCCGTTACCACAGATGCCTCCCGGTGCCGTGCCCCACATCGGCGCCGCGCCGTCCATGCCGCTGCCTTCCATGTTTCCGTTCCCTCCAACGTCGGCCGAGACGCCGTCGCCATGGCCGTGCTTCCCAGCGATGCCAGGGCTTCAGACCCTCCAGCTCCAGCATTATCTCGCGCAGCAGGAGACGCTGCTTTTGATGCAAATCCAGTTTCTCCGACACCTGCAAGAGTGCCAGCAGATCTACGGCGCGCACCAGCCATCGACGTCTACGTCACCGCTCACAAACATCTCGTCATTCACGACGCGGACGTTCACTGTGTACCGCGACGACGTTCCGGCCGCCGAAGCGCCGATGCCCCGCCGTCGGTTCGCCGCCATCCGCGCCGTCCTTATGCTGCTCGACTTGAAGCTCGCCGTCAAAATGGCCGTCATGATGTACATCATCGGGCAGGACCTCCCGCTGCCCCGGCTGTACTTGCTCATTGGCATCTCCAGCGTGATCTACCTCTACCTCACGGGCATCCTCAACAAGATCTACGACATGATCCAAGGCAACCACCCGGAAGCGCCGACGCCGATCCCGAATGCGGCCAACGACAACAACGATTTTGAGGTTCCGCCGGTGGAGAATCTGGCGCCGACAACCCCGTTTTTGACGATCCCAGCCGAAGGCGGCTGGTGGAAAGACCTTCAGATCTTTCTCATGGGCCTCCTCGTGTCGCTCTTGCCGTCGTGGCGCCCGCTCGCGACGCCGACGCCCAACGATCCGCCTGTCCCCGTCGTCGAGCCTGTCGGTCAAGAGTAAACAAAATGAAGAAAACTGCATGTTAAAAAAGATGTTGCACACGAAACGAGAAAGAAAACCCTTTGGCAGTAGTAGGTAGACCCATGTCTGCTAGTGCTGCATGATGCCACGAGCTTAGAGGCTGGCCATTTAGCCATTTGCAACGGCAACTACCGCCTTTGCATCTCGATTAGTAGACCGTACAACATGGAAGCGTCTAAAAGACTTCAAGTAGAATTTTTTGATTGGCTTCGTTCGGAATTTCTTCGATGTGTGACGTCAGTCACCTGAATGAGAGGAGTATTTGGTTACCGCTCGTATGCAGGTGACAATGGTCGACTTGGTTCGAGTTCGTGATCAAGCCACGCGAGTTCGAGCCCTCTACCAATGACATCAGTAAATCAGGCCCTTGAGGGTGTATACAGTGCAGATATCGACCAAAAGCGGGATCGTGTCGAGCGATGGCAGGCCCACGCATCCCTACCGTAGCAGGAGTGTCATTCATGTGCGATGATGCCATGGCTAGTTACGTCTGGCGCAGCCTCGGACATTCGCGACGCCGGACTGCCTGGTGGACACCGTCGGCAACCGCACCACGGTCAAGACGCCCAGTGCAGTGTCGGCGTCGCAAGGTTTTACGCTGGCCATCAACGCGAAGGCCGACATTGTGCCGGACGAGCTCAAGCAATATTGTTTCGAGCATGCCATCGATCACGCGATGAAGGCGTCAAGTCGCGTCGCGCATCTTCACGAAAGACGGGAAGCGGCTCTCCATC